TCTTCAGAATATGAATTTTATGTTCAATATAACGATAAAATTCAAGGTAAACAAATTTTATAAGAACCAAAACTTCTCCACCAAATTCCATGAGTAACGGTCCATAATTTGTCTTAACTCTCCCAAATTCTTCAAAGCTTGACTCAAGTCCACCTAAAAGGCTCTCTTCTGAAGATCACCCTGATGTTGATATTATTGATATGGGTGTATAAGTTTTAGGTTTTTATCTTCCCTAAATTTTGTGTTGTATTATACAAATTAATAGTGTTGAAACGTGATACACGTGAATCGGAGTAAATTGTGTGATCATTCCCGGTACCGCTACAAATTATCTCGCACTTTCAACTTCAGTAAAAGTATGATTAATATAAGTTAATTTTATAAAACCTTTAAAAAAATAATAAAAATAACAATCTCTTATTTGATGTAAACCTTTTTTTCATACACGTACGAGTTACAAGACCTCTTTTTTGCAGCTTGTGCTTCTTATTTACCTTGAACTTAGTGTTAAAGTTTATAAAGCTGCAAAACATGTACTACGCTACTCATCGTGTACTATAAACTAGTATTTTATTTATTTATATCTTTAGTGTTTTTTTGTATTTATAGTCGATGTACTTTGTACTAAATATAACTTAGCACAAGTTCTTGCAGCCCACTTAAATTTGTTTGCAAAACAAAACTAGGTTGGCTGGGTTGGTTAGTTTGGCTGACTGGCTGGCTGTATGACTAGCACACTGTTTGATTGTGAATAACTTCATTCATTCAAATTGTTTTCTTTGCCGAACCACAAGACTCGTACGCTTATAGCTTATAGACAAAAGTTACAATAGATTTGAACTTGAATTTGTTGATGATGATTAATCTATTGGCAATAGAGCATTTTATTTGCACTTTACGAAAGATTTATGTTTTAAAAGAAGGGGTATTTCAGCAAAAGGGTTCAAAAGATTTAGATTGAAAAAATGCCACAGCAACAAGTGCATTTAAGTACCCAACAGTTTTAAAACGAAGCAATGTATACATTTTAAAAGATTTTCGAAAGTCTAACTAATAGGTTATAAATTTTGAGATGTAATGCGGAAATGAGTTCACTAAAGTATCGCTAGGTAATCTAAAGATAATCTTTTTCTCAAAATTTAACCTTAATAAGTAGTTCTTTAATCCATCACCAGTAATGTATTGTAGAGTCAATTGTCTATTTATAATCATAGTGAAAGAGACAAAGAGACTACTTGACTTCCATCTAGGATAAGCACATTTAAATAAATGATGGATTCGGGATCACTACCACGAACTAAAGATCTATTTTTGAAATAGATACAGATGCAATTAAAAACATTAGTAAAAATGCAAACGTACCCGTGTAGTAACGTTATAAACTCACTCATTGAGTATTATTTATTATTATTTTTCATTAGTATTATTACTATTGTTGTATTTGCTGTTATTATTGTATTTAAGTCATGCACTGTAAACTCGATCAAATAGCGAGAAAAAGTAAAGAAATAAAATTGTAGCATAACAAACAATTGAAAAATCCCCCTCGAGAAGAAGCAAGAAGAAAACGGCAAAAACTTTCTAATAAATAAAGCAAAAAATTCAACTAAAATAATATTAAGAACCCAGCAAAATAAATTACTTTCAAAAAAGCAAAACAGAAGTGGAATTTAGAAAATGGAAAACGAATACAACCAAAAAAATTAGTTATTCAAAATTCTCAATTTTAGCTCTTCTTACTTTTTTGGGATCAATTTGATCTCACAATGTACTTATATCTCGATTAAGTATTAAATAATATTGATTTAAGTATGATCAAGATTAAAATTATATCAAAATGTGCTTACTTCAAGAATTGTTTTCTTAATTTGAGCCCGATTCCTACTTGATTTCAAGTAGCAACTCGCTTAAAAATTCACGAATTTTTGGGCTGGATTTTGCAATCAATCCCGGTATATACTTATTTTAAGTGTTTCTTAGATTGAATTTAAAATAATTAACTGAAATCTAGAAACCGATATTTCATTCTTTTTTTCCTAGTTTCCCAGTTATAGCCTTTTTATTTGACATTACTTTGAGCAAAGTTTAAGTGGATAATGTAATTCCAATGAAAATACTTCCATAATGTATGCTGGGATATAACAGTATTACTGCCATCATCATTTGTAGGAGCGTGTGCTTTTCCATATGCATTTAAAGAAGCATTGAAGTTTGCCATAAAGCGGTTAATACAGATATCAAATCTGTGCATTGTTGCATTCACATCATCATCAAAATCAACTTCATCGTCATTATATTTCAAGCATTTTTTTCGTACGCTTTAGATTAATTACCTCTTGAGTTTTATTTGATTATTATTTTTTCGCAACTACTGACTGTTGAGTACTTTGACTGTGACTCTGTGCTACACTTGTTTTTGTTAAATTTTTTGTGGCTTTATATGATTTTTACCAACACACAACAAATGTTACAGAAATGTTAATCAATTTTAAGACCTTCAATATTTGATACAACTATTTTTAAATTTGTTGTATATAATTTTTTTGAATGCCAACTGTTTTGTTATATGTTTTTTTTTATTGTTTAACAAGACTATAGAAACTCTATTTTATTATTAATTTCAACAAGTAAGAGGAGTTTTATTCAACTGTGACGAATCTTTATATATTTTACAACTTTTGATTTCTTATACTAAATGCTACGTTTGTTTTTGTATTTTATAGTTGTAAAAAAATCAATACAGCATTTGCCGGATATGCAAATATTACAGTAAATCTGCATAGGTGCGAAATCGGATTCGTAAATCTGGTATTTCAAAAGCTTTTTATTTCGAATCGACATAAGTACTAAGTAACGTCCCTGAGACCGTCTAATATCTACAATTTCTTAATCACCCCTATCGCCAATCAACATTTCACTTGAAATATATTCCCTTTTCACTTTTTTCGTTCACTAACTTTTATGACGTGAAAAAAATTTACCTGTTGTGAAATTTTGTAAACAATGAACAGCTGTTGCATACAATCAACTATTGTGAATGAATTGTTCACAGCAAGTTCACGATATCAATTTCCCCTTCGAAATAAATGAAAATTTCATGAGAACAAAAATTTCACTTTCCATGGGGTGATTCTATGAAGAACATGCTTTTCAAAAAAAAATATATATTTTATAAATGATTTGCAAAAATATACGGTACATTTCAATTAATAGAAAACCACATATATATTTTAAAAACCAATTTTATTGCTAAATTTATTAATATGTATACAATAATTGTAGCATTTATTATACAGAAAAAAGTTTCAACATAAATACTATGAATTGTTTTCATTGGCTAAAGTAAATATTATATAAGAATAATTTCATAAATAGTATGAATTTTTTCATATTTTTCTTTTTTCAAACAAAATCTAGAAACCTTGACTTAAATTGTTTAAATTTAAATTTTTATTTGTATATTTATTGAAAAAAGTTTGAAATTTGCTTTGGTAAATTGTTTAAGTACATATAAAATCAGATTAATATAAATATATATAATGATATTTTGAAGAAGTCGTTATATGGGGTCTAAGGTTAAATATAATCCGATCCTAATAAAATTTGGTGGAGGGTTACATGTATAAATGTTAGTTGTGTCAACTTGTTGGTTTTTATATAAGAATTAACGACGTTTAAGTCAATTTGTGAGGGTGACTTTGTAGGGGAGCTGGGGATAAATGAGTTCCGATAATTACGAAAATCGGCAGTATTATTTAGTCTTATATAAAACTAAGTTTTGCCGATTTTTGTAGAGATACTAGAAAATTAAACATAAATATGAGCTTAAAGTCTTATTTGGGGGGTACGGTTGTTCGGGGGCTAGATCAAATAATATACCGATTTCAACAATTTTCATTAGGCACCATCTTTGGGTCAAGTACATATGTGCTAAATATCATGAACTTATCTTGAAAATTGTTTCATTTCGCTTAATCGAAAATGATTCTGAAACGATTGGTATAATTTTATGTGGGGGTATGCCCAATATTTCTATGCGTAACAGACATCCATACAAATCCAAAATACCCTTCCCACTATAGTGACTATTGTGGATCCTTTATACTAAATTTTATCAAAATTACTTTTTAAAAATAACCTACAAAACCTATTCAGTATGGGGGATACAGACCTTATTTTATTTTAAAAATCTAGGAAACATTAATTTATCAACACTTGTATGTTCACCGTCTAAAATTACCCACCATAATATGGCCTGTGCATGATCTGTAATAGTAGACGCACACAATTCAATGGAACGACGACGGTATGGCATCATGTGTGTACCATACATTGAATCTAATGTATTCGTATTTTGGCCACACACTTAAGAGCATCGTTAACAGCAAGTAATTGCATTGCAAACACTTATTTTTTTCATTTATTTTTGTTCATTATTATTTTAGTTCATGTGTATGCCTCTTCACACTTCTAACGCACTTACTAATCTTTGGGTAAATTATAATTAGAAAAACAAAGTAAAAAACCAGAAAAAAGTGTTTATAAAATAGTTCAATCTAAATTTAGAGGCATAACATAAAAATACACACATTAAGCATTTGCCAACATATATTTTGAATATTTATTTTTTATTCCTGGGTAAACTAGCAGCCATTGACCCAATCCGGCAGCAAGTCAATCAGCCAGGCTGTAAAATTTGTTCACAGTCTAGCTGTTTATAGCAAATAATGTTTTTAATAGAAATAATTGCAAAGAAAAAAATGTTAGTATCCTATTGCAAAATAAAACTAGGCACTTGCTAATTAAAAATAAAGATTTCTGCACAAATTTTAAAAATTATAAATAGCTAAGTAATAGAAAACTTAATTAATTTCATGATTTATATATTACACAGAAAAAATAATTCATAACTAGAATGTATTTTGTAATAAATAGTATATAGTATTAATGTTGAAACTTTTTTCTATGTAATAACAAATACTTTACTCTCTACTTTGCAGGATCTCAATAAATATGAATTTTTAAAGTCTTAAAAACACCGTTCTTCATAAACTACATACGGGTTTTATAAAAGTGGCCCAGCATTTACTTACTGGAAACATAAACACAGCTTATAACCATGTATAGAATAACAGAAGGAGAACGCAATCAGTCGCAGGCTACAACACCAGATTTAGATGATTCGATAAGTTTTTCCGATGATGTAAATCCTGATGTAGACGTTGATGTCGAATCTGTTGCCACTAAAAAACCACACTTCTTAGACTATGATGCTGTCCCACCGCCAGATTTTGTGGAGCATTTCGATAGGGCCATGAATTTTGGCAATGTTGCAACAAGCTCAACAACAACAATAGCCACAGCAAATAATGTGATGAGCAGTAATGGAGGTGGTGGCAGTGGTGAACAGCTTAAATTGGATAAAAAATACGAAAGAGATGGTGAAATAAGTGATTATGAATTGGCAGCTAGTGGTTATACCAAAAAGGAATTTACCCAAGATGACAATACTTTGAACATAACAACGGCTTTGTCGGCAAATGCTGTTAAGCCGAGAAAACATTTCTTAGACGAGAATCCCATACCGCCCGACTACATGTTAAATGATCATCAAATGCGTGAGCATCGCAGTTTGGATCGTAACTTTGAAAGACATAATGAACAGAAATCAGCTTTGGATTTACATGCAAATTTGCCAGGTTTTCGTTCATCGCGAGAACGTTTTAAGGATATACCAGCTATAAGTCGTTTGCCCAAAGGTGCCGCTTGGACCCAAAGTTTTGATAGTCGTTATGATAGTAATTTATCGGCAGATAAACTAGATGATTTTGGCCCTAAAGTCGAATGTGTTTATTCGTTACTTTCGATGCTGGGTTCGAATGATCCCTTAGAAATGTCCAAAAAGTTTCATGAACTATCAAAAACTCCTGAGACATGCAACACATTGAGGAGATCAGGCTGTATACCTTTGCTTGTGCAAATGATACATGCAGAAGGTGGGCCGGATGAACAAAGAAAGTGGGCTGGTATGGCTCTGCATAATGTGGTGCATACCCACCCTGATGAGAAATCAGGACGTCGTGAGGCCAAGGTATTAAGATTATTGGATCAAATTATGGACTATTGCAATTTTTTGCGTACTCTACTGCAAAGTGGTGGCGAGGCAATAGCCGATGACGCTGACCGTCATCCCTTGGCTGCCATGTCCTCCTTAATGAAAGTTAGTTTCGATGAGGAACATCGTCATGCTATGTGTGAATTGGGTGCCTTACAGGCTATACCCAGTTTGGTACATTTGGATCATGCTGTGCATGGTCCAAAACCCGAAAATCAATGCTGCAATTCTCTGCGTAGATTTGCTTTAATGGCTTTGACTAATCTTACCTTTGGCGATGAAAACAATAAGGCTTTACTTTGCAGCCAGAAACTATTCATGGAGGCGCTGGTCGCTCAATTAGATTCCGCTCCCGATGATTTGCTTCAAGTAACTGCCAGTGTTTTGCGCAACTTGTCCTGGAGAGCCGATGCTCAAATGAAAGCTGTTCTAAATGAAATTGGCACTGTTACGGCTTTGGCTAAGGCAGCTATGAAAAATAAATGCGAAAATACTCTCAAAGCTATACTGTCAGCTCTGTGGAATTTGTCGGCCCATTGCAGCACCAACAAGGCAGAATTTTGTGCTGTTGAAGGTGCTCTCTCCTTCATTGTTCGTATGTTGACGTATGAAGGTCCCAGCAAGACTTTGAAAATTATAGAAAACGCTGGTGGTATTCTGAGGAATGTTTCCAGCCACATAGCCGTTAGAGAAGATTATCGCCAAATCCTAAGGGAGCACAATTGCTTGTCTATATTATTGCAACAATTGAAATCGGAAAGTCTAACGGTGGTTAGTAATTCATGTGGCACTTTATGGAACTTATCAGCACGTTGTCCGGAAGATCAACGCTTTCTCTGGGACAATGGTGCAGTGCCCATGTTAAGATCTCTAATACATTCAAAACATGCCATGATTTCGGAGGGTAGTGCTTGTGCTTTGAAAAATCTTTTGAACTTTCGACCCTCATCGCAGAATACTAATCATATGGATAATATAGCGAGATCTTTAAATTTGAAAAAGTTGCCCACACTCAATGTGCGTAAACAGAAGGCTTTGGAGCAGGAACTTGGAGCAGCTTCAAAATCGCACAGTGAAACTTGCGACAACCTGGACTCAATAAATCCCAAAGACAGGCCTACATATGATGCATCTGCGGCTATGGGCTCATCCATACAACGACATCGTTTTCCTTTACACAACGCTCTAGGTTCAGTGGTAGGAGGAGTTGTTGGTAGTAGCGCTACTGGACGACTAACACGTTCCGCTATGCTAACAAAAAGCGAAAGCCGTGATTCTGTATTTTCTGCCAAATCCGATGGTGCAGTTTATGATCATCTCATGAGATCGCACTCAGCTTCAGATGCCAATCGAAAATTACATCACAGTTCAAGGCCACAACCGCCAACATCATATCCCTTAGAAGGAGACGTAGAGCCGGCCGAAGAACAACCCATAGACTATTCACAAAAATACAAAGAACATATTACAAAACACAACGATCATGGAGAAGATGAAGAAAATTGTCCGGCCACCTACCAGGAAACTGATTTAGATCAGCCTACAGATTTTAGTTTACGCTATGCTGAAAATCAGCTGGAAAGTGATATTGACTTATCACCACCCGTGGGTAATGAAACATCGGGTATTGTTACTGATGCTCGCGTAAACTTGGCGGTGGCGGCGCAGCAGCAGTCTAAGCCCAGAACAGATAATAACGGCGAAGGTAATGAAATATTGTTAATACTAGAAGACAGTGTTAAATGTTATCAAACCGAGGACACTCCTTATGTAATATCAAATGCTGCTTCTGTAACAGATTTGAGATCTGTACCAGCTTCAACTAAAATTGAAGAGAGTGATTTGCCCTCAGGCTTGGATAACTCAGAAGCAACCTCTACAAGTGGAGCAGCAATGATACCCACACGCAAGTTTAGTCGTGTGAATCCACATCATCAGGCTACTCAACATTCTAGTAATCCATATGGATCGGGTTCCTATACTCCCGAGAAGCCGGTTAACTATTGTGAAGAAGGTACACCAGGCTATTTCAGTCGCTATGAGTCATTAAGTAGTCTTGATGAATCACCACCACAGGGAGAACACTCACAAAAAGATCCACAAAGGTTGACTGGTAAGTGTGGAGAGAACAATCTAAGTTCTCTTTCCAAAACCAGTAGTAGTGATGCCGATAAATCAACTTCACCACCCGAACCACCACCTATGGTCCAGACACCCCAAATAAATTCTGCTTTAGAAACACCTCTAATGTTTTCACGACGCTCATCCATGGACTCTTTGGCTGAAGAAGACGTCGGACCAATCGATGATAAAAGCTCAGTGGTTAGTGATTTCAGTCGTTTGGCTAGTGGTGTAATATCACCCTCAGAAATTCCCGATTCTCCCACACAAAGTATGCCACAATCGCCTAGAAGAAATTCGGGATCAGGCGCAGCTTCCACCACATGTTTTTCGACTGGTGTTTCACCCAACACACAGCGCATACAAAATCGCTCAGGGGAAAATAGCAAAAGATGTTTGCGAAGTGTATTTGAGGATGACCTCAGTACTTTTAATGTAGAAAACACGCCAGCTCAGTTCTCCACTGCTACTAGTTTAAGTAATTTGTCTATTTTGGATGAAGAAACTTCCAATCAATCACCACCTCAACAGCAGCAACCAACACTTCCGCCTACAACCAATACAATTTCCGAAGGTGAAGAGGAGGAGGATGCTAATGAGAATAACGATGATTTACTATTGGCTTCCTGTATTAATATGGGCATGAACAGGGCTGCCATACCCTCAACATATTCACAAAATACCGACACTAATTCATCGGTCAACCATCCAACTGGTATGACACACGATGAGCCACGACAATACTATACCGAAGATACTCCAGCTTTACTATCGAAAGTTGGCAGTAATACAAATCTTTCGGCCATTTCAATATGCTCCAGTAATAATGATCCCAAAGAGGACACTGTCTACGAAGTATTAGGCTGCTCCTCGGGCAATACCACCCGTACTCACCACAACCAATCCATTAATAGACGTTCTCTGAATTTATCGGATGATATGTCTTCAAATGCTTCAGAAAGTGGTGCAGGTGGTATTGATATATTACAACAATGCATACGCGATGGCATGCAAAAACCATCGACCAAAGAAAAAGTTGAATTGCCCACACACACCGTTTCCTCTAATCTTATGGATCCCATAGCCATGTTGCGAAGAGGTGGTAATATATTACCACCTTTTGTTCCTGTAAATGATGAAATGAATAAATATCGAGTTGAAGACAGTCCGTGCAATTTTTCCGTCATGTCTGGTCTATCAAATCTTACGGTGGGCTCTAGCCTCGTTGGACCAGCTGTAATACTGCAAGGAGCATCAAATGCAACGTAAGTATGCTTTTAAATGGTGGTGTTAAGTAGTCTATTTAAGTATTCCTGTGTTTTAGGTCTAACAATATTGAAATGCCAGCTCCAAATCAGAAAAATATTGCAGTGGCTGCAATGCCGCCTGTTTTACAACGTGAAGATAAGCCTCAATTGCCAGCTGCACCTGTAGAGGATGTTAGAAGGGAACCCCAATGGCATGATGATTCATTGAGCTCTCTATCAATCGAATCTGAAGATGATACAAACCTATTAAGTCAGGTATGTAAAAAAAATATAGTATAACAAAATCGAAGCGATTTTTAACAAATACAATTGATTCTTTGTTACTTTTCAGGCTATTGCCGCTGGTTGCAATAGACCAAAATCGAATTTAGGTTTTACAACCGCATTAACATCGACTGGTAAACATACAACCACCTCGTTGTCATCATCTCAGCCAATACCCATAAACACAGCAACCTCAACATCCTCTTTGACATCCCAAGCTACAGCGCGCAATTTCGAGAAGCAACATCAACATCATCTTCAGCATCAACAGAATCTTGACAAACACAACTATCGTGACCCACTACAGGCAGGAAACGAGTCATATAGCTCAGTGGATTCGAGTGATTCTAATGATAATCAATCGAAATCATTGTTCGAACTCTGTATACTGACGGGCATGCATAAAAATCGAGATTCTAATATGGTCGGTTCCTCAGGTGGCAGTACAACGTCACGCAAACATACCAGAAGCGTACAATCACACCGTTTAAAGTCGGGCCACCCAGAACATAATACTACCCAATCGAATCCCAATTTGAAACAGTTCGATTCGTTGCCCATGCAAGGCAAACAATTAACACCGAATCGTCATGTCCGCGAGCGAGACCGAAGAGATGAGAAACTTCTAATGGAATGCATAAACACTGGAATAATGAAAAAGATTGGAGAATCGAATAAGCAAACATCACTACTGACCCGTGAAGCTTTAGTTTTACACAATACACAGCCAAAAAACGGGCAGGCTACGTCTGCAGCTGCTCAAATGGAAGAAGCAACTCACCCAACAAGTGCCAAATACACCAACAACACTCACAATTCCTCCATTACAGCCAACACCATCATCACCACCACCAACATCACCACCATCACAGCAGCTCCAGACGTAGAGAAGAAAGACAACTACACCTTAGTCCCAGAGAATTTGAACAAAATTCAACAGCAACATCAGCAGAACAACATCAGCAACATCACCACCAGTCTAGACGAAGACATAAAAGATCAAAAAAATCACAACATGTATCAACAGCTGCAACGACAACAGCAACAACAACAGGAGGAGGGACAGAGTCAAACTCTTCAAGCAGACGTAAATCTTCAAAATCTCGAGAACGTTCCCGAGACAATGAAAGGTATTGGGTGTAAATATGACATTGAAAATTGCGATTCGTTAGGCAACGACGGCAACACTACACAAAGCGACGAATCGAATCAATCGTTTATAATGGAAACAACCGTTTCTCTGGAAGCCAAACAAGCTGAATGCATTAGTTCCTTAAATAATTGCACCGAGAAACATAAAGATCCCGATTTAATGCTCAAATCGGTGGAACGCCTGACCTTGGAGTTCGTTTCGTCCGCCGAACAATTAAGAACCAACAGCAATGCCACCGGCAATGGAACACAATCTTTAAACTCTGATTCTAGTGAAAATCACAAGAAAATTAATTCATATCTTAATGGGAATTGTGGTGGAGGAACTAATAATTCTACCTCTAATAACACCTGGAATGAAGACACCTGTCCCAATGACGTTAGTTTCCCTAGTGTTAGTGTAACTGCGCCCAAGGTAGCTTCGCTTAGTTACGATGACGATGATGAGGATCAAGCCACCACGGCCGATTATAAAGAATTAAATGATTTTGCTGAAAACACTCCTATAAACGAGGAGTTACCCGCTCCCGACATGTCTTTAGATTTCGATAACATAGGTCTACAACAGAATGGCTTCTATTTGGATTCCTCACAACCAGCCTCTTTGGATTGTCTCACAGAAACTGAAAAAACTTTGGTAAATGGCGAGAGCAGAGTTGGCAATTATACTGTCAAAGAGAGTGTGGTAGATGAGGAGAGCAATGGCAGCAATGGTTTGCATTTCAAATTGGGAGGCATTGTCCAGACAGCTGCCACTACGCCATCATTGTTCTTCAATGCGAATGCCATGACAAACTCTACTTTCATAGCCCAAGAAGCCAGAAAACTGGCCGCTAATCTGCAAACTTCCGATTTAGAGGAAGAAGAGGAATTGACCTTTAGTATTACTAGTTTAGATTTGGATAACATAAGACCGCCTTCAGGAATGGATTCTTTAAATATATCGGGCTATTATCAAGATTCCACACAACCGAATTCACTACAACGAGTGGGCAATTCACCACATAGTCCACAAATGTCGTTTAAATCACCGAAATTCCCCAGGAAAAATTTGCCTGCTGGTTTAATGGCACGAAGAGCTCTGGGACATATGCCTCCCCACCTGACCGGCAGCGTGGAAAGTATAAATTCCTCTTGCAATCTTCTGCTGGACAATATTAAGCCACCCTCTTTAATGGATGAACTGTTAGATTCAATGATAAGTGTAGCAAGCATACAATCGGAGATAGCCGATGACTGCAACAGTATGGCCACCACTGTTACTGTTTCGAATTATGAAACTTGTGCTGGTGGTGAAGATGGCGACACGGTCACTTTGCAAAGTTGCTGCGATAATTATTTGCCCAAAGATGATGATCACACATTAAATGAAGGTAACACCACACCGCTGCCCTCTGACTTTGATTTCAGTTCGGCCGAAAGTACACCCAAAAAGTCAGCAGCCGCTTCTCCGGCCTCTGGCTACAAAAGAAATCTAACACCAAAACAGAAAAGAAAAATAATTAAAGACCGCTTTAAAACCTATACAATTGAAGCGGACATGATTATTAACGAAGAACTGCAAAAGAAAATGGAAGAAGCGCAACAAGATGAAACGCTAGCCATTGAAATAACCAACTTGGAAAGCGATGAGCAGCAGCAGGAACTGGAAACTGATGCTCAAAGCACCCCACGTAGCAGAAGAAGATCTAGTCAAGATCGTTACAAAACACAAACTATAATCTTTTCGGATCTGCAATTTAACCAACAAACACAATTGAGTAGTTTAGAATCGAATAACGATGGCCAGATGAGTGATAATTCCTTTTCATCCATCAGAAATATGACACAAAATTTCAAATTTATAACAACAGCTACAGCTGAAATGAATACTTTGCCCCAACAGGAGTGTGAATCAACTAGTTTGGAATATGATCAAAACTCTGAAACAGAATCTTGTCATAATTTCGGTAATAATCAACAATCTTTAACTGATAACGAGGATTATGAAGAGGAAGCGCAGGTCGCTGAAACTGCTCGTCCAAGAATTGTAAAACCCGGTGATAAAGATTTAGATAAAGATAAACAACAAGAAGAACAAGAGATGGCAACTGTAAAAGCAGTAAGAGGTGGTAAAAAACCTCAATATGTTTCACCCTATAGCATAAAGTACCAAAAGTCAACAGGGGAGGGTAAGACAAATACAAAATTAACACCACCCGTCAATACAAATTTCTTAAGAAAACGCAATGGAACGGGTAATGTCGCAACAACATCGGGAGCTTCAACAGCCAGTTCTAATACTAAATTGGCACAAAAAAAGACAATTACCAAGGAGACGACAGTGGTAAAGAAAGTTGAAAGTAACACAGCTACGGCTACAACTCCTGCAGCACCAGCAGCCCTAGAACGACAGGGTACCTTTGTTAAAGATGAACCATCTTTGGATTCATCTAGTGTTCCCGTAGTGGATACAAGTCCCACTAAAACCAAAATATCAAAATTACCAACAAAACGACAAAACTCCAACACAGCTACTTCGGCCCATACATCACCACAAAAGACAGCCAGTACACGAAAGTTGCCAACCTCCGCCTCTGCCCTGCAGGCGACAAACAAACGCAATTTGGGCTCCATTAGCAAACCACAAAGAGCAAATAGTACCGTTAACATACGTGTTACCACAAATGCGGCCCGTATAGCGGTTTTATCCAATCGAGTCTCTACCACTACACCACCTTCTCGCAGTAATTCCTCCTTGAATTCCGCTAATGCAGCCGTAACGGCAGCACAAAATGCTGCCACTAAAATAAATCAAGCCCAGTCACGTATAGCGGGTATATGGCGTAAAGTAGATGAAGCAAAGAATCGCCAGCCACCCTCGAAAATATTAAAGGGTTCACAGTTGAAAGCTACAAAAGCACCACCTCAACCCGGTAAGCTAATACGCAGTACAACTTTCGATAATACTCCTCCTGTGGAGGGAAAACCGGTTAAATCGGTGCCACAGTTAAATGGTACTAAATTGCCAACAAGTGGTGCTAGCAAAATTGCTGCTATAACACACAGACAAACAACCAGTGCTGCTAATCGAAAATAATTCCCTTTTTATATTGTTTAGTTCAAATAGAAATTAAACTGTAGGTGTTGATTAAGAATTATTCATTTAATTAAACTGATTTAGGCTTTTTCAAAAATGGTCTTCCTTAAAAAAAAAAAACATTTAAAATCTGGAGCTAAACTCCTTTTAAAACAAAGTAAATTCATAATTTTGTTTGAATTAAAAGGGAAGACTAAACTTGGGTTAATAAAACCTTAATAACTCAAATATTATTTAAAAAAACAAAGACTATTTAAAAAGCCGTGATTTATTGAGTTCACAAATATGCATAAATCCTATGTATAAGATTTTTCGAGATACTCCTGTCAAAGACATTTCAAATAAGTTTTGCTTAGACACCTAAAGAAAAATATATCAAAAATTAACAAAAGGTTTCCTTCAACAGAATTTTATTCTTCTTAAACAACGCAAATACTTTCCATTTTAAAACATTAGATTAAAAATCTTGTTAATCAAAATTTAATTCATATCTTCCCTAAATTAAAGCATTTAAAAGAAAAACCAAAACTGCGTATAATTTAACAGACAAAAAAGCAAATTTTTAGAAACAAAAATGAAAAAAGCGGCAGGAAAATTACATTTTAACAACGCACATATTTTAAGAGATGAAAACATATGACGACAAGACTTGAAATTTAAAAACGTAATTAAAAATTAAACATTATGAAGAAAAGCACAATAAACTACCATTAGGGTGTTTAAAACATACTAATAACATTTTAAAAGAAATACCCTATAGTAGACCGAACAGCCCACAATAAACAAACGAAAATCTTGAAACAACTCAAACAAAAATGTAACATTTGTATCCTAAAATTAAAACCCAAACAAAGGCCTAACACAAACCAAAATTAAATAAAATTTGTCCAGCAATTAACCATAAATACAAAAGTGCTAGTTCACATTTGTACAACCCAATATAAGAGAATCAATCCATTTAGCAAGAAATAAAATATAATTTGAGATTCTTTTTTTTCTTTCTTTAAATTAGAAAAAGTATTATAAACTGTAGTATATAGATTGTCCTAAAGCTAAAACATTAATAAATAAAACCTAAAATCAAATCTGAAAGTCAAAGTAATTATTAAGTAAAAATATTTTTAAATTTTGTTTCTTTTTTTTTCTTCTTTTTTCTAGAAACTTCAGCCAAATGTATTTAAAATATTATATATTTATTATGAATTATGAAATTACTTAATAATAATTTACAAAATTAAAAAAAAAAACAAATTTATATCATTTATCAAAGTTTAGTATTTAAAATATTGCAAAGAAACCAACTCAATCTTAAAAATTTAATTTGTTTCCTCTATGTTTAAACTTGTGAGACTTTAATTTTCGATACCAAAAACCAAAAATTACTATTTTTAAATATTTTAGTTTATTATTATTATTATTTTTTTTTTTTTGTTCAACAAAAGCTTTACATTTTCAAAACTTTGTTTTTATATTTTATTTTAAACTCTGTTTTTTTCATAAAACTTGTTTTAAATTTAGTTTTTTTAGTAATTTTCCATTTAAAATTAATTTATTTCTTATTAAATTTAGACTAGTGTTATATTTATATGCATTAAGAAAAATTTGTATGTTCGAAAAATTAATATTTTATTGATTACCAATACATATATATAAAAATAGTTATTTAAATAAAATGAATATCAATAATAAAATAAAACATAAATAAAATCTTTAATTTGAATGGGGGTTGTTAATTTGTCATTTTGAAATTTTGTTTTAATGGTTACGAAAATTCGTCAAGCTTAATTTTGAACATAATATTTTATTGTATTCAGAAGACTTATGTCGTCAATTTTCTGTAATTTCGAACTACAGGAATCGTGTTTCTACAATGGTTGTTTAACCAGCCTTAAAAAATGTTCGCATATAATTTCGAATTTTTAGATTTAGTTGTACGAACCAGATATTATTTTAAAAGCATCAGCATTTTTTCGAATATTCGAAAATAATATTGTATTGACAACAGGTGGGTTCATAAGACTGCAAAATCCGAAAAAGTTGCCGTTTGGAAATCTCTAATAAAAAATGAATGTTCAAAAATCTTTTTATAAAAGAGGAATTTTCGAAATTTTCTATAAATAAAAAAATAATGTTTCCTGATAGGACAAAATTTGATATAGATGTTCCAGGTATCGTTAGAAATCTTTATATTTTTAAATTTGTCCAATAGATATCCTCGAAGTTTTAATTTCAGTTAAATTGTGGGGCCCTTTACAAGGAGAAAAATATAGGGCAACATAACGCGGACCAGATTCAGCAGATACTTTCGAAAAACTTCTATTAAGAAAGAAATTTTCGAAAATCTATATGTTTATAAAAAATAATGTGTGTTTATTTATTTGTGGGTTTGTTTGAAGTCTATAAACTCCTAAACGGCTGAACAGATTTTAATGAAATGTGTTTTCCTGTATGTCGGGAAGGAACTATAGGTAACTTTTTATTTTAAGGAGGGGAAGTGGTTCGCCCACATCCAAAATACGAATTAAAAGTTGCATATCTCAGAAATTGCAACAGCTAGAGTCCTCAAATTTTGTATGGATAACTTTGAAATCAATATGAACTATATATTCATATATTGGATATCTTAAATTAGTATATCTGAGAAAATATAACAGAGTCCTTAATTTTTTCGAAACCTTTAAATTTTGCAGGAAGAACTTTTACGTTCACCTAAACATTTCGGAGAAAAAAAATGGGCGGACTTTTATTAGGTGGTCTTGGAACCTCTCATATGAATTTAATATAAAAAACCCAATTGGAATCTTTCAAAAACTTCAAGTTAGTTTTTATTTATATTGTTTTTATGGTAGCAAAGGCCACTGGTTATAGCTGGTCTTTTATAAAGTAAAAAGTTTAAGAAAACTTTTTATAAGTAGAAATTTTTAAAAATCTTCTATACGAACAATTTTTGAAAAACCTCTACAAAAAGATTAAATAAATATCTCTAAAAAAATAATTTTCGAAATTTTTAGAAAAGATGAAATTTTGGAAATTTTTTATAAAGATTTCCTAATTAAAAAAATAACAGTGCTAATTTTTCTATTACTAATATTATATAGCCTTCGCTTCAAATTGCTATTTTGTTAAAATTTTCGGAATATTTTTAACTTATGCCAAAAAAATTTCAATTCTGAATATAAAAAGTTAAAATATTACTATAATCCGCAAAAATAAAAAATAATCCGAATTTAGAATTATTGACAAACAACCCTGTCAAAAACAAAACTCCCAATCTGGCAATATCGTTTTATTATATTTTTCCTATTACTGTCATTCGCAATTATTAAAGCATATAGAAAGCAAGAAGCAACAAAGATAAAAAACGAAAAGCCGACTAATTTATTAACTTTCTCGAATTTGTTTTAGCAACATATTAAAAAACCCGCAGATAATTTATTATAATATTAATAATAATTTTTATCAAGTGGACAAGCGGCTGTAGAAATACAAAAAAACTTAAAACGCAAAATGGTGTTGAGAGAAACAGTGAAAACAACGCTTTTAATGTTGTTTGGAATGCTGGTGGCAGAATGTGCAGTTAGCACAAATGAATATATGAAAAGGGAGCACTCATTAGTGCGGCCCTTTCAGGGTGAGTCAGCAGCTGCAGAAGCAGCCAATGGAAAGTGATTATAAATTAGATAAGTGTGATAATTTTGTTGTCTACGTTTGATTTTAGGTGTTGGTGTAAACTTGCCCAATTGGGATTTCATAGGTCATACAGTAGTGACCAGCAACTATATAAGACTGACACCAGATTTACAATCAAAAAGTGGTGCTTTATGGAATTATTCGGTGAGTGCAAATGTAGTTTACTGTGGAGGAATATAATGATTGAAAAATTTATTTTGTTTAGCCTTGTTTGACTAAAAACTGGGAGTTACATGTCACTTTTAAAGTTCACGGCAAGGGTAGTGAATTGTTTGGTGATGGTTTTGCCATTTGGTATACCAAAGATCGTATGCAAGCTGGTCCAGTTTTCGGGAGTAAAGATCATTTCTCAGGTTTAGCGGTGATATTGGATACCTACAGTAATCACAATGGTCCACATAATGTAAGTATAAAGACTTTTATTTTTCTGTAAAATTGCACAAAAAATATTTAATTTTAGCATCAACATCCATATCTCAGTGCTATGGTCAATAATGGCACTTGGAGTTATGATCATGATCGTGATGGTACTCATACCCAATTGGCCGGTTGTGAAGTACGTTTCCGTAATGTTAACTATGATACACATGTGGCCATACGTTATGAAAACGACATTTTGTCGGTGTCAACAGATTTAGAAAATCGTGGCGAATGGAAAAATTGTTTTGTAGTAAACAATGTTGAATTACCCACAGGTTATTTCTTTGGCCTGTCAGCCACTACCGGTGATCTTTCGGATAATCATGATATTTTGGGTTTTAAATTTTATGATTTAGATACAAATGTTACGGTAAGTTAAACATGTTGTTTATATAAATTTATAATTTAATAACTTTGTTTCTCTTTAATAACTAAAAGCCTGAACAAATTATGGCTCGCGCCAACATCATACCAAATGCTAAAACCTTTGAAGCTCCACGTGAACATAAGGATGATCCCAAACCGGGCATGTCTAATACTAAAATCTTTTTCATTTTATTATTCGGTATGTTGGCTGCCGTGGCTGTGGCCATTTTTGCTATTTCCTATTTCAAGGAGAAAAATGCGCGCAAACGTTTTTACTAGTTTGTAAATATTTAGGCCCGTTTTTGCAGTTCCCCCCTAAGGGAAGAAATTTTACATAAGGTTAACGATAAAACCGGCCAACAGTCTTCAAAACTCCACAAAAATTCTTTGAGAGAAAAAAGACATGAACTTTTAATTACAACAAATTAAAAAAAGAATAACGAAGATTAACTTTAATATTCTAAAAGTCAATTTTGTTTTGAATTAAATTTATGGTATTTTCAAAATTTTCCTAGTATTTCCTATTCTATAATGTATGGTTTATTTATTCAATTGGTTTATAATATTTATTTCTTACTATTTAATTGAAACAAAAGAATATTAAAAAAAAACGAAATGTAATACAAAAATTGCAATTTTTCCAGTGATATTGCATCTCCACAAATTTTTACGTAGCAAAATGTTTAAAATAAATAAAAAACAAATGTAAATGTGTAATGTAATTAAAACAACAAATGCAAATTAAAACAACTATGGATGATTGTAAATAAATAGTTAAATGTAAAAAAAACAAATGCATAAAGTGTTTTATTCACAATTTTAAGCATCTGTTCTAATGTAACTAGATTTAGAACCAAGTACAATAGGAACCAAATAATGTTCAATAGAATTAAGACAATTTTGAACAAAAGTCTAGTTCCAGAATTATATTAAAAACAGTAATTAATAGTCTAAAAAAGAAACTAGAACGAGTAAACTAATAAAAATTTTCCTGTTTTCTTATTTTGAAACAATAAAAATAACTAATTAAACGAATTAAATTTAATATTTCCTGTGTGTTGGCAATGCAAACTAGATAAGTTGCCATAGTAGCATTTTTTTTAATACCAGTATTTCCTGAAACTTACCCGTCTGGCATCTCTTTACTTATTGTTTACCTTTTAATACTGGCAAAAAACAGCAATTTTGATAAAAAAAAATAATGACCACCGATGAAAGAAATTTTCGTTCTTCTTATTATGAAAAAGTTGGCTGCCACAGTGTTGAAGAAAAGAAATCCCTTAATAAATTGCTGCAGGATAATATACGCAATCATGTGAAATTAAAACAATTTTGTTTAAGCTACACCGTACCCACCACTCATCGTAGTCTGTTGTGGAATATTATATTGGGTGTCATGCCACTGCACAAAAACTCTACGGAATACATAATGGAGCAACGTAAGGCCGTATACGATGATCTCCTCAGAGCTGTGACCATAATGCAGTATGTTAATCAAAGTACGCCTAAATGTAAAGTTCTGCTGAGTATGTGGCAACTGGAGCAGAACTGTCTATTGCATGCCCACAACAATAGCGACAAAATGGAAATTGATCAAAATTTCATCGAAATTGTTAAGGTTTTATTGCAATTATTCGATGATGATGTTGAGACTTATTGGTTGGCTAAAGAGTTTTATGCCTGTACACGAGAAATACAACAGGAGTGTGGAAAACTTAAGGAATTGACTCAAAATTTGCTAAAGAAGGAAGATAGCCAATTGTGCAAGTATGTGGAAAATTTTTAAAACTTATTTATAGTTATTAGACCTATATTTTTGTTTTATTTAGCCATTTAGACAATTTGTCAGTTTTTAGTTCTAATGATCTTTTGGACAAATGGTATGTCACTTGTTTTGCTGGTGTTATCAATGAATCGAGTTTAGTTCGTGTTTGGGACAAAATATGTGGTGGTTCCAAAAAGATAGTGGTATTTATATTTTTAGAATTGGCCAAAGCTTTAAGTGAGAAGGCTTTGAAATGCAATACCAGGCAGGAGTTTAAAACTCTAGTAGAACAGGTATGTTCTTTGTATCGATGAAGATTTTCTCCAAATATAAAAATTCCTTTGTTTCAGATTAAGGATCCCGATGCACTAATCGTCAATAAGGCTATAAAAACATGGCAGAATAGCAATCAACACAGTGAGAAAATAACCGTACACTAGCCGTACATAGAATTCTAAGTTTAAAATTTAATTTATTAACGATTCACTTAAATATATTTGAAAACAACATCTTTTTTGTCTTGTACTGTTTGCAATTCAAGTGTTACGGGACACTGTAACCAATAGGATAATAGTTCCTCGGTATAACCAATAAGGAAGTACATTTTACGAGCACTTATTGCTTGTCTAACAATAGCAGCTATGCGTATGGTATTGTGTTGACGTTTAATAATGACCTCGGAGCAGACTAAAGAGTGCCAAGTGCCGATTATGAATTTGCGTATGAAAACGTCTTCAATGGCGGTTTGAGAGGGACGCAAACCATCCAGCATGGTGGCTGTAATTTAAAAAAATAAATTAGTGGTGTATTGATCCAATGTTGTTTATATAACCTACAAGTATTCCATGAATTCCAGGATTTACGATGAGCTATATAATGAGGAGGATTGGCCATTTCATAAGTTAAAGGTTTGTCGCGTTTTGTGGTTATGCGATAGCGGCCAGATTGAGTTTTAGCACAACTAGCAGTAGTATGTATGGCTGCGACGGCATATTTGCTGGTGGCCACCACCTCTGTCAGCATTAGGGGAGTCAACTGGAAGAATATTATATTTAAATTAATAATTTTTATAGTTTTTATTTAACAATTTACCAACTTTTTGTAAAGCTGACATTTTTGCGTTGTGCTGTTAATGTGAAGAAAGAAAAAACTTTACATCAACAGCTGTTAATGACATAACATTTTCCTGCAGTATGTTCAGTGAGTGAAACTCAGGTTAACAATTTATTATGACTAGCAAATGTCATTTAGTAATAAGAAGCAGATTATTGCAAGAAAAAATTGTGTTTTTCTAATATTGTTTGTTAAGTTGATTTTTTTATATTAATTTTCTATTAAAGTTTGTAAAGAATTTTATATACAAATGTTAAATACTCATACAGTTGCTATTAATTTATGTGAAAGATTTACATTTATCTTAATAAATCTATAATTTTTCCAAAAAACAAGGTACATATTATGCAAAAGTGTTTTTTCTTGAGCTGGCTGGTCTACATCATCATGTAATTATTGACCTGTAACAATTTTGGAGAAAAACTGTTTTCTTTTTCTTTTTCAATTTTTATTGAGCTTATAATTATGAAATAGTTTTATTATTAGTGAAAGTTAAGTGTAATAAGTGTTATGGGTAGAAATCTATTTTCTATTTATTTATTATTTGTTGCAAAAGATTTTTTTTGGATAAATTTTCTTTGGTATGTTTTTTTGCACATACCTTCACACACATAAAATCGATAATTTTTCAATCAGCGATAAATTACTGCTATTTTGTCTCCTTGTCAAACTACTAGTACTTGACTAATGTTTATATTGTGGCGTGTGAAATATTTTATTTTAATTAAAAAATAAAAACGATTTTAATTCAATATTTTTGGAAATTATAGAAATATCGATTACTTATCGTTGTTAGAAAGCTTTTTCAATAAAAAAGTATAATGTATCTAAAAAGATCGAAAAATAATTAAATTTTTAGATTTGGTATTTCCGTTTTAACTGAGTATATATGTTATAGAGTCCATAATCGTTTTATAGATCCTTTCTAGAATCATGTAATTAGGGACAGTTATATGTATAAACCAATTTTTGATTTGATTTTAATTAATTTTAATTTGTAATTATTATTATTATAATTTTATATTAAAAACCAGTTTTATTAATTAATTCTTTTAATTTTTGTAGAAACATTTTATGTAACTTTTGGCCAATAGTAGCTGCTATTGTTTTTAAAAATGGAACAAGAAATCGGTACTTGGGATTCGGTATTATTGGAAAATCTTTCTGAAGATAGTTTCATTAATAACATACATCAACGCTATAAACGTGATCATATTTATGTAAGTATTTTAAAGGAATTATTCATATGTATTGATTAATAATTAACTTATTTCAATTTCAGACCTACATTGGCACCTCAGTGGTTGCAGTAAATCCATATCATCACATATCAGAACATTCGTTGGACTTAATACGCAATTATGGTAGCAAGGGTATTTTTCAATTACCGCCACATATGTAAGTTGAAAAATTATAATAATTTCATACATTTATGACCTTGAAAAAGTAACACATAGTATGTTTAAATTGGACCAATAATATCGCTTAAGTCTGCAATGTAATTTTTTGCTTAAATGTTTTTAAACATTTTAATGATTTTTGTTTTGAAAAAATCTATTTCACATTGATATTAATAACAATTTTATTTACTTTTCTCAACAGATATGGTCTGTCGAATCTGGCATTTCAATCCCTTAAGGATCAAAGTGAAGACCAGTGTATACTATTAACAGGTTTGTCAAGATATCCTTAATAAACATAAAATATTTCTAATTTTTCTCTAATTCCTACTTTAACGCCACAGGTGAGAGTGGTTCTGGTAAAACAGAATCTTTTAAAATGATTGTCAATTTCTTAACACACATACAAGAAAGATCGAAAGAATCAACAAGCTCTCAACGAAAACAATCTACGGCCAGTTCAACAGTCGGTGCTACTGCTGCTGTTGCTAGCGGTTGTTCTGCGGCTGCCAGCAACAAACATCGTCGTACCTCTAGCTCATGTTCTGTGGGTCCTTCGCCGAATTATATGCTTTGCAAAAATACTTCGGCTACGGCGAGTACTAGCACTACCTTGTCCATGCAACGACGACAGTCTCCATCGCCAGGACCGACAGCACGAAGATGTGACATAGCATTGCAGCATCGTTCACGAGCAGATAGTTCAGAGCGTCAAGGTAAATGTTCGAATGTGCGAGAAAAAATGGTTGAGTTTGATTTTTCACATCATAAAAGTAGTGAGAATATAACTACTATGGATAGTTCATACACCACAGCTGCATCGGTTCACTATAGTCAAGTGCAACAGGGTACAGCATCGGCATTAACCCTTTCGCCACATCCTACAAAATCTTGTTTTAAACATCATCAATCAACACAAGTTCCCTGCAATACTGCCACACCCTTAAAATCAACACTATCAACAACTTCTTCATCTTCATATGCTCGTAGTGCTTCGCCGAAATATCTCACAGGTTCCACCGGCGGAGGTTGTCGACAATGTGGTCATAGTAAATGTACAAGAGCTCAAAGTTTCGATAGAGATGAACCAGATTTCGGTTTTCAAAAACCCTCCGGAAGTCGTAGTCTATCGGCTTATCCCTCTGTACAACTACAACGTGGCAGTTGTTCCAATCTTGTGCGTCAAACCTCAACCGAAAGTTATACACGCGATGAGCGCCTATCGCTAATGGGTTCCATGCAACGTATTTCTCTTTATGATGCTCATAAATTGAATCAAACATCTGCACAAAAATCTCCATCTTCATCGTCTTCAAGCAGAAAATACAAGAGCCCTTTAAAAAGATTAAGGGAATGTGTGTCGTATGCAGATGTTTTCCTCGAGGCCATGGGTAATGCTGCAACTCATAAGAATAATAATTCAAGTCGTTATGTAAGTTTAAAGGACAGATGTTTTTAATTATGGTGTGTGTTTAAAGAATTATTTTTTTCTTTTTAATTTTAGGGTAAATTGTTTGATATAGAAATTGATTTTAAAGGAGATCCTATTGGCGTTCATATAACACATTGTAAGTTTATGTTATTAGTTTGAATTTATTAAAATATACAATATAGATTATATACTAATCTAAAGTCTGACTTTAGACTAATCTTTAGAGTAAAGACTAAAATATAGTTCAAACTAAAAACTAATTTATTGTACAGAGTTTAGACTAATATATAGGCCACACAATAGACTTATTTATAGTTCAGACTATATACTAATCTATAGTTCATAATATAGTATAATATATAGTAAATACTAGATTAATCTATTGTGCAGACTATAGTCTTATTTGTAGTCCAGACTATGGACTAATTTATAGCCAAGGCAATATATTTCTAATCTACATTCCACACAATAGACCTATCTATAGTCCAGATTATGGTTCGAACTAAATAGTATAAAAACAAATAGAATGTATACTGTAGATAAATCTTTGTCTCAAAAGATCATCTGTCAAGAAATCATCTGGTCCTTACTACACTAATCTAAAGCCTAGTCCGATCAGTAGTCCAAACTATAGACTATATAGACTAATATGTAATTCAGACAATATACTAATCTTTTGTCCACACTAGAGACTAATCTATAAACCAGACTATGGACTAATCTATAGTCCAGACAACAAACTAACAGACTAAACTATTGACCAGATTCTAGATTATAGACTATCAAAATCAATTTACTACAATGAATAATAAGAAACAGAATTCGACTTTAAATTTAAATCACAATCGATATTTTTGCAAATTTATAACATATAACATGTATTATTGTTATTCTTTTTACTTTTCATGTCTGTTTTAATTAGATATGTTGGAAAAGGTTTGTTAATTAAAAGAATTTTAAAATTTGTAAATGAAATTCACTCAATTAAGTTTGAGAAAAGATTTTCACAAAAATTTCTTTAAATTTTTGTTCAGCCTTATTATTATAAAACATTTATAATAGTTTACTTTTTCAAATACTCAATTATAGACTCGTGTAACAAATACTGCAATAGGCGAAAGAAATTTTCATATATTTTATCAATTATTATTGGGTGGTGACTTGCAATTGTTAAGTAAGTAGAAAATTAAAAATTTTTAATTTAAATTATTTTAATAAAACACGAAATTTCTAACAGAGTCCTTAAAATTATATCGTAATGTGGAAAAATATGAAATTTTAAAAAATACAACTGCCATTGAAGAAGATCGCACTAATTTTCATTATACAAAGGTTAGTTGCTGGATTATTAATGAATTATTGTTTTTATAAACAAATTATAAAATTCTTTTTATAGAAATCTTTAGAGGTTCTTGGTTTATCATGTGATGAAATAAATGCCATTTTTCGTGTTATAGCTGTTGTCCTTAAATTAGGTAATTTTATTTTTGTACCGGTTACAAATATAGATGGCACTGAAGGTTGTCAAATATCCAATATTTATGGTAAGTGACAAACTTGTTAATGGGTTTAGAATATGTTTTTAAATACTTATACCATAATTTGTTATAATTTTTGCAGAAGTACAAGAAACTGCTCATTTACTTAATTTGGAAGCTCAAATTTTAACTAATTGCCTTACAAGAGCAAGCTGCTCAAATAGTACACTGGAAGATGTGGGTAAGTGATAATAAATGATTACAAAAATTAACTTAAAAGCATTTAAAATTTGAATATTAAAAAAAAAGATTCTCTACAAAATTCTATACTAATGAAAGACGCTTTTACATTTTCTCTTATAGGTTGCGAACTTGACGCTCGTCAAGCGTCTATTGTCCGCAACACCTTGTGTCGTACACTCTATGGACGACTCTTCACTTGGCTGGTGAATAAAATCAATGAGAGCCTTAAATCAACACAACGTGAAAAAAATTTAGCTTTATTAGATTTTTATGGTTTTGAATTAATGGATAATAACTCATTCGAACAGTTCGCTATCAACTATAGTGCTGAAAAAATCCATCAAAATTTTGTACACAACGTACTCAGGGTTGAACAGGAGCTGTATGCCCGCGAGGGTCTCGAGTGGTCGCGTATAGATTATTTTGATAATGAATCAATATGTGAACTTATCGATAAACCGAACTACGGTATATTAAGTTTAATCAACGAACCACATTTAACCACCAATGAAGCTCTATTGCTGCGCATACAACAGTGCTGTGCTGGTCATCCGAATTTTATGATTTCACAACCGAATTCGATGTCATTTCGTATACGCCACTATGCGAATGTCGTCCAGTATTCGGTACAACGTTTTCTGGAGAAGAACTCCGATATGCTGCCAAAATATATAAGTTCAGGTTTATATCAAAGTAAACTGCCACTCGTACAAAGTCTTTTTCCCGAAGGGAATCCTCGAAGACAGGCCACTAAAAAACCCACCACTTTAAGTTCCAATATACGCACTCAATTACAAACTTTACTCGCCATAGTTAAGCCAAGACGTTCGCATTATGTATTCTGTATAAAGCCCAACGAATGCCGCCAGCCGAAAAGTTTCGATATGGCTTTAGTGCAACATCAAGTTCGCTACATGTCCCTCATGCCTCTGGTCAATTTGTGCCGTCAAGGACATTGTTTTCATATGTCTCATGCCAAATTCTTTTTGCGGTATAAACTTCTAAACAATACAACCTGGCCTCATTATCTTGGTGGCACTTGTGTTGAGGGTATCGCTGTCATTATACGTAATCTTCCACTGCCATCAGCTGAATTTACAATTGGCACAAAAAACGTTTTTGTACGCAGTCCACGTACTGTTTATGAACTGGAACAGTTTCGTCGTGTACGCATGAATGAATTGGCCGTTTTGATACAGACCACATTTCGTATGTACAAGGAGAGACGTTTGTTTTTACGCATGCGTGAAAGTCAAATTGTGATATCAAGTGCTTGGAGAACTTGGAGGGTAAGTTGTTTTGAGATATTTGTCTAATTATTTGTTCGTTTAGGTTTTGCATGTTTTTTATTTACGCAATAAAATAAACATTCCAGTTGAAGGTTAATATTTCAATTTCCATGGTGTAAATACATACAAAGAGATGTCGCTTCAGACGATAATCAGCTTTATTCTCAAGAACTAAGATCACTAATACATTTTATTTTCCCCTTAATTAAATTAATTCGTAACATACAAGAAAGTTTCTTTAATATCTCGAAATAATTTAGCTTTTTCTTATCTACAACGAAAGAGTTTGTAAAATAAACAAAAATTTCTTAATATTCACGAAAAAACATATTACGAAACAATTTTTTTATTTTCGTAAAATTATAAAAGGTTTTAATTAAAGAATATTTCGCATTTTATACGAAAAAAGTTGTTAAAACATTTTTGAAAAAAATTTCAATAGAAAATCTTTTCTTTCTTTTTTATAGAAAAGATAATATTTTATTTAAGAGATTTTTGTAGAAAATATTTAGATTCTATAGAATGTTATAGAAAAAAGTTGAGTGTAAAAATTTTTCTATTAAAAATATGCATATAACGGCGTATAACAGTTTTTTCTATAAGAAAATAGATTATTCTATGAAAAATGTGTGTATAACAGTTTTATAGAGAAAGATTTGCGCAAAACTGCCTTTTCTATCGAAAAATTTGTGTATAATTGTTTTTTTATATAGAAAAATTTTTATAGAAAATACTGTTATTATCAGTTTTTTTAAAAGAAAACTTTTTGTATATCAGTAGAAAGTCTTTTGCTGAAAACACTTTTCTCTAGAAAATCTTTAGTTGAAAGTCATTTCTACAGAAAATCATTTGTTGAAAGACTTCTATAAAAAAAAAATATTTTGTTTAATAATATTTCTATAGAAAATCTTTTGTTGAAAGATTGTTCTTTGGAAAATCTCTTGTTTAAAAGGCTTTTCTAAAGAAAATCTTTTGTTGAAAGTCTTTTCTATAGAATATGTTTTGTTGAAATACTTTTCTATAAAAAATCTTTTGTTGAAAGACTTTTCAATAGAAAATCTTTTGTTGTAAGATTTTTCTATAGAAAAACTTTTGTTGAAATACTTTCCTATAGAAAATCTTTTGTTGTAAGACTATTCTACAGAAAATCTTTTCTTTATAAAATCTTTTTTTCGAAAGACTTTCCAATAGAAAACCTTTTGTGGTAAGACTTTTCTATAGAAAATCTTTTGTTGAAATACTTTTCTATAGAAAATCTTTTGTTGAAAGGCTTTTCTATAGAAAATCTTTTGTTGAAAGGCTTTTCTATAGAAAATATTTTCTTGAAAGACGTTTCTATAGAAAATCTTTAGTTGAAAGTCATTTCTATTGAAAATCTTTTGTTGAAAGACTTTTCTATAGAAAATCGTATGCATTTAATATAGACAATTTTGTGTATAAGAGGTTTTATGTAGAAAAGTTTGCATATAACAGTTTTTTATATAGAAAACTTTGTGTATAACAATTTCATATATAGAAAAACTTAAGCACACATTTTTATAAAATAATTTTTTCTCTAAAAAAATAAGTTTATAACAGTTTTGTAAGTTGTATAATCCGATCTTATAAAGTAATCAACAGAATTGTAAAATTTTCATCTGGAATAAATGTAAATTTTGTGCAAATTATATATTGATGTTATTTGCATGTTGTTTTTTTTTTCAAATTTTGTTAATATAATTTTAATTTAGGAATGCCGGTTTGGTATTCCCTTCACAGGACGCAGACATTTATGGAGTATTTATCGTATAGTAAGCATGCTTTATATATAACACATGTATTCTACCACTTTCTTAAAATGCTAATGGCTGCTTTAACTAATTTACATAAACAATTCCTCGTATATTATAGTTTTTATAAATGTTGGAAACCCATTTGTTTCATTAGACTTCTAGTATTGTTTTTATCTTCCAATTTAACTTATTTGCTCTTAATTCTAGGCCCGTGAAGAATATCGAAATATGCGCTATAAACGACAAATTAAATGGGCGGTCGAAGTTATATCACGTTATTATTTACGCTGGAAAATACGTCAATATTTTCTAACCATACCGTTAAGATTACCACCAAACACTTTGAGTCCCCTATCAATGGATTGGCCTACGGCACCAAAATTCTTAAACGAAACATCGCGACTGCTACGTGCCATTTATCATCGTTGGAAATGTTATATATATCGAAATTCATTTGATCAAACCTCTAGGAATCGTATGCGTGAAAAAGTCACCGCCAGTATAATATTTAAAGATCGTAAAGCTTCCTATCCTAGAAGGTAAACGCTTATTTAGTGTTAAGAAAATTGAAGTTTTTATTAAATTGCAATTTTTCAGTGTGCCTCATCCATTTATTGGAGATTATGTACGTTTAAGACACAATCAACAATGGAAGAAAATGTGCGTGGAAACAAATGATCAATATGTTGTATTTGCTGATATTATAAATAAAATTACCCGATCGAGTGGAAAGGTAAAAGAAAACATAATAATTTATCATGCTTCCTACTCAAAATTGTTTTAAAATGTCTCATTTTTAGATTGTGCCTATTTTATTAGTCTTATCAACTTCATCTTTATTACTTTTGGATCAAAGAACCTTACAAATTAAATATCGTGTACCGGCTGCTGAAATTTATCGCATGTCTTTAAGTCCTTATCTTGATGATATTGCCGTATTTCATGTTAAAGCTGTAAGTAAATAATCGAAAGAAAACTTGTTTGTTATTAAATTTTTATTTTCTTTTTAGTCTGAATTTGGACGTAAAAAGGGAGATTTTGTATTTCAAACAGCTCATGTTATAGAAATCGTTACAAAAATGTTTTTAGTTATACAAAATGCCACTGGAAAACCTCCGGAAATACATATAAGTACAGAGTAAGTTTATGGCAAATTAGACAAAGATTTGTGAAGATTTTTTTTTAACAAGAGCTTTTCCTATAGAAAATCTTTTGTTCAAGGACTTTTCTAAAGAAAATTTTTAGTTGAAAGACTTTTCTATAAAAAATATTTTGTAGAAAGACTTTTCTAATAAAAATCTTTTGTTGAAAGTCTTTTCTATAGAACAACTTTTGTTGAAAGTTTATTCTATAGAAAATCTTTTGTTGAAGAACTTTTCTATAGAAAATATTTTGTTGAAAGATTTTTCTATAGAAAATCTTTTGTTGAAAGACTTTTCTATAAAAAATCTTTTGTTGGAAGACTTCTATGAACAATCTTTTGCTGAAAGACTTTTCTATGAAAAATCTTTTGTTGAAAAACTTTTCTATAGGAAATCTTTTGTTGAAAGACTTTTCTAAAGAGAATCTATTGTTAAAAGGCTTCTATAGAAAATCTTTTGTTAAAAGACTTTTCTATAGAAAATCTTTTGTTGAAAGATTTTTCTATAGAAAATCTTTTGTTGAAAGATTTTTCTATAGAAAATCTTTTGTTGAAAGATTTTGCTATAGAAAATCTTTTGTTGAATGATTTTGCTATAGAAAATCTTTTGTTGAATGATTTTGCTATAGAAAATCTTTTGTTGAAATATTTTTCTATAGACAATTTTTGGTTCAAAGTCTTTTCTTTTGTTGAAAGACTTTTCTATAGAAAATCATTTGTAGAAAGACTTTCTCTAAAGAAAATCTTTTGTTGAAAGACTTTTTAAAGAAAATATTTTGTTAAAAGGCTTTTCTATAGAAAATTTTTTATTGAAAGACTTTTCTATAGAAAATCTTTTGTTGAAAGACTTTTCTATAGAAAATCTTTTATTGATTTACTTTTCTAACGAAAATCTTTTGTAGGAAGTCGTTTCTAAAGGATATCTTTTGTTGAAAGTATTTTCTTTAGAAAACCTCTTGTTTGAAAAACTTTTTAAAAATCTTTTTTTAATATTAAATCAAATATGTTTTAATTGCCAGATTTGAAGCAAATTTCGGACAACAAACGGTTATCTTTAATTTTAAATATGGTGGCATGTCGAATTTAGCACAAGGACCTCCAAAAGTTACTAGAAAAGCTAATCGCATGGAAATTATTGTATGATCCGCAACAAAAACTTATCGCTGGACCTCAATGACTTTTTTAAATGCCTATGAGCTGGATGCTATGGCAGATTGAATTAATATAAGGAATATACATAAATAAACTCTTACACCAAAACGTAAACCTTCTTCCACTCCTTGAATACAGCAAAAAACAACAACCAAAACTGACAATCATACAGATGCAGTTGTTCATATAATAAATAAATTATAAAAATAAATATTAAACAAATTGTTTGAAGAAACAAACTGGAACATATTGTTTCAAAATTTGTTATAAACGTGTGCCAAATGAAATTATATGGAAAATCTTATAAGGCAAACAAAAAACTACTTTTTATCCTTAAATAAATTTTATACATATTTTATTAAATAAGTTTTTAATAAATAATTTTTGCAATTTAAGTTAATTTCTTTTAATTATATAAGTCACTATAAATTAGTTATGAATATGTAAAATAAAAGGTTATGTTTAAATTTGTATCCTACCAAAAGGCATTTAAATTATATTAAGTTTTATGTTTTCTCTATTACAACTTTAAGGCAATAGTTTTTCTTCCAACCGGTTTCACAAAAAAAAAAAACTTTTTTAACAACAAAATCTTAAGAATATTTACTTACTTACTGCATAATCATGCTAAATAAACAGATTTTATTATTCCTTAAATTTTTACAAACCACCTTCTAATATTTTTCACTTTACTACAAACCTTGTGAAAAAAACGAAGAAAAATCAACACATATTTACAATAATTGCAAACGGAACAATATTTGAATACACAAAAACCTTAAAACAAATTTCAATAAATAAAATTATTATACTTACCATTATTAACAAAACTAAAACTCTTCAAAAAAAATAAAATAAGATTTTTCTTAAGTATTAATAACAAATTATTTAAATTCAAATCAATAACTTCAATTTGTTATTTCAGCTTCTGAAAAATCTTAATTTACAACAATTGAATTTAAATTAATAGAAAAAACCTTTAAAATTAATAAAATATCTATCTATATACAACAAAAAAGTAATAAACATAAAACAATTTATTAACAAAGAAAACATTTAAATAAAATAATTATTAACTATTATCATATAAAAACAGAAATTAATAAACAAAATTCACAACAAATATCTGCCTATAAAAAATTAGTGAAAAAAAAATAATTGAAATAAAATCAAACTTATTTAATATTTACTATTTAAGTAAATACAGGAAAGTAGTAAATTTTTGTTTAGAAAGAAAACGAAATAGAAGAAGAAAAATAACTAAATATTTAGTGCTATTTGAATGAATTATTTTTTAAATTATTAGTTTATAGTTAAAAATTTAAAAGAAAAAAAAAAAAAAAAAAACAAATAAATAATGAAAACTCTATATATTTAGCTCATATATATATTTAAATATTATCATGTTAACATTAATAACATTCATAGTTTATTAAAATAACTAAAAAAACAAAAAAAAAAAAAAAAAAAAAAAACAAGTAATAGATTTTATGTAATAAATTAAAATGAAAGATACTTTTAAGTAAAACAATTATTAAATGAAATTAAAAAGGAATAAAAACAATAAACATGTTTTTTATTTAAATAAATACAGACGGACCACATAAATGATTATGCATTTATAGCATTTTATTAGTTGTAAATTATTCTATCTTCTTTGAAAGACTATTTAAATAAAATATTTAAACGAATTTCTCCCCAAAAAATCTATAAACTTACAAGGAAAAATTCAAAAATACCAGTTGTTAAGAAAAAAGAACCAACAGTCCACCATTATTAACTACCTTAGTTAGGATCCAAAAAGTACTAGTTGGGAAAAAAGTACCAGAAAGTCCATATTTATAGATTTTCATTCAATACTCAGCATACATAAACTTAAAGTTTCTATGTTTTATTGCAGGAAAATCAAAAAAGTACCAATTGGAAAATGTCCCCTTTTATAGATTTTTATTCAAATAGTTCAATATTATAAAAAATTCATAAAGTTCCAGTTGAATAACGAAAAAGTACCAAAAAGTTCACGTTTATAGATTCTCATTTACTACGGGCTTTATATGTTTAATTTCAGAAATCTCAAAAAGTACCAGTTGAAGAACAAAAAGTTCCTGTTGAAAAACAAAAAGTTCACTCTTATAGATTTCCATTTCATCAAGATCAATATTGCAGAAAAATCAAAAAGTAGCTGTAGAAAACGAAAAAGTACCAAACATTTAATTTTTTTTTATATTCTCATTTATTCTTTAATCTATTTATGTAAATCAATAAATAAATCATTTTAATGTTTATTTCTACAAAAATTGTATTATTTTTTTTTTTGCATCAGCTGTTTACACTTTTGTATTTCTTTCTCAAGTTTAAACCACCTTCATTGGGCACTTAAACTTTGGATCGTCTCATAATCTAATAAGGACCTATAATAAATATAGTTTTGTTGGTCTTCTACTAATATTTCGATCTGTTACAAACGGAAATCAGTCAATAAAATAAAAGAAAATACAAATAATATAAAATTCACTGTAATGGATAAATCTTCAACATGAATTGGCAGCCCTGTTAAGTAAAAAATGTAGTGCCAAAATAAAAAAGTCCCTTTTTTTGGCAACTTTGCATGTAAGTTCCGTTAGAAGTTTGTTGTTGTTGTTTTTGTTGATCGTATTTGCGTTTGTTTATTTATTTGTTGGTGGAAAATAATAAAAAAGCGTAAATAATTACAAATAAATTGAAAATAAAAGTGTAAATAATAAAAAAATAATAAATAAAAGTGTGTTTATTATATAGGTTCATTGAAAAGTGTAAAAGTTTTTGAATATTTAAGTGTCAAAGTTGGAATATAAATACAAACATTTTTATGCAAAAAAAAAAAATAAAGAAAATGGAGTAAATATGTTCAAAATAAAAAAGTGTTTATAATTCTGTAAATTACTCTATTTGCCTCAAAGGGGTCTGGTTTACTCCACGTAGGTACATGAAGTGGCGTCCTTAGAAAACTTTTATAAAAACAGGTAAGTTTTTTTTGTTAAATAAACTTTATTTCTTTTCAATATATAAAAATGTATAAAACTTTTTTAATATGGAATTATTTTATCAAAGTGTCTTTTGTCTACTTGCACCAATAATATAATTGCATTTACCATTACTTATCAATTATTCCTATAAGAATTTGTTGTTTACAAAAATATTGTTTTGTTTTTTTTTTTTTTACAATTTGAACTTGCAAAGTTTTACTTTATGGCTTTGGTAGGGAGGGATTATTTTTAAGGAAATTTTAGCTTTCTTTACAATTTTGATTTAAGTTTCTTTTTGATCATATCGCGGAGGACACGTCTTAAAATTTTGCCGCTGGGATTTTTAGGAATTTCATCGACAAACATAACGCCACCACGTAACTTTTTGGCGGGAGAGGCACGTTCAGCCACAAAATCAATAACTTCTTGTTCACTTAGCTGGACATTAGCTTGTTTAACCACAAAAGCCATGGGCAATTCGCCGGCTTCTTCATCGGGTTTGCCGATAACAGCGGCATCCTTAATTTTGGGATGGGTCAAAAGTAAAGCTTCAATTTCTGCTGGAGGCACTTGGAAGCCTTTGTATTTGATTAATTCCTTAATGCGGTCCACAATAAAGAATTCAAAATCATCATCAAAGTAACCAATATCGCCGGTATGAAGCCAACCATCAACAATAACACTTTGTGTGGATTTGACATCACCTATATAGCCTTTCATTATACAATCACCCTTAAAACACAGTTCGCCACGTTGGTTAGGACCCAAGGTCTTTCCGGTATCGGGATCTATTACTTTAGCATAAAGCCCTACTTTTAAAGCACCAACACTGCCGGGTTTGCAGGCATTATCATTTTGCACCAATAAACTTAAAGTGGATTCACTTAAGCCATAACCCTGACGTATAATGGGCACACCAATACGTTCTTTAATTTGATCTTCGGTTTCCTTACTCAAAGGAGCTGCACCACACAGCAAAACCATCAAAGAAGATAAATCGTATTTTTCCACAATGGGATGTTTGGCCAAAAACACCATTAATGGAGGCACCATGAAAGCCATCATAACACGATATTTCTCAATAGCACTTAAGAATAAATGATCCTCAAATTTGGGCAAGTAAACCAAACATGTACCCAAGCAGCCGGTGGTAATAAGAGTTAAGCAGCCGAAAGCATGGAACCAAGGTATAACGGTTAACATGGTTATTTCGCCCAAAGGAAGAGCAGTAGGTTCTCTACAAGAATTAAAAATTATTTAAAATAATTGTTTTTGTTTTTATACTTCCACTACTTACAACTGCGAATCCAAGGTGGACAAAATATTTGATTGTGTCAATTGTACACCCTTGGGCATGCCTGTGGTACCCGAAGAGCATACGATTAAAGCAACATCATCATTCTTATTGGCTTTTATGCAATCATAAGATGCTTGTGAGGGTATGGATTTATCTTCCATTAATTGTTTGAAAGCATAAACATTAGAGTGCGTAGAGTTGGTAGAAAACACAACAATTTTCTTAACAAATGAGTTGTTTTTGGCCACCTTGGCAATGCGATCCACGGTCATTTTTGATGCAAAAATAACTTTGGGCTTTGAAAGATTAAGGGCATGATGGACTTCACCTAAAAAGAAATTAAAATCAATTGACTCCCAAATATGTTTAAAGTTTTAGTTTTAAAACTTACGTTCCGAATATGTAACATTTAAGGGTGCTACAGTGGCATTTAGCACAAAAGTAGCAAATAAAGTTATAGCAAATTCTACACTATTTTCACTGGATAGTCCTACCACATCATTGCTTTTAACACCCAAATGTTTGAGCACATAAGCCAATCTTACAATTGAATCATGCATATACTGGGCTGAGTACTCTTGACCAGTGACAGCATCAATCTAGAAAAGGAAGAGATAAACGAAAAAGTTTTTTATATGCATTTTAAACTTTTTACGGAATTTGCTTTCAATCTAGAAAAAGAAGAGATAAAGGAAAAGGTTTTATATGCATTTTTAAAATTTTTACAGAATTTGCTTTTATCGATATTGGACTTTTGGTTGTTTGGACTTTAAAATGTTTGCAGAGTATCTAAATTTTAATTATTATAGTTGTAATCAGATAACAATATTTTTTTATTTATATATTGATAAAACAAAAAGCTGGCATACATATTTACAATGTCAACTAATGAATAGTATGTGAATATAATTATTCACATACTATTCATACCCACCATCAAAAAAGCTGGGAGGTATATTGTTTTTGTCATTCCGTTTGTAACACATTGAAATATCCATCTAAGACCCATAAAAGTATATATATTCTGGGTCCTTCTTAGATTCTAAGACGATCTAGCCATGTCCGTCTGTCCGTCTGTCTGCCTGTCCGTCTGTGTGTCCGTCTGTCTGTTGAAAACACGGTAGAGTCCAAACGGAAGTAGCTAGAGAGCTGAAATTTTGCATAGATACTTTTAGTTGATGCAGTTCGTTTGGTATTGAAAATGGGCAATCGGTCCACGATTTCGCCTAGCCCCCATATAAGGTCCCCTTCAGAAAATGACTTTAACGCTCATAACTGTCTAAAAGAAGCATTTATAGTTATGAAATTCGACATGAACATATTCTATAGAAACCTAAATCGCTTTGTAAAATTTTATAGGGATCGGTCCACAATTGACCCTAGCCGCCCTATAAGGTCCCCTTCACAAAATGACTTTAACGCTCGTAACTGTCTAAAAGAAACATCTATAGCGGTGAAATTCGACAGGAACATATTTTATAGGAACGTAAATCTCTTCGTAAAATTTTATAAGGATCGGTCCATAATTGACCCTACCCCCATATAAGGTCCCCTTCAGAAAATGAGTTTATTTATAAGGAAGCATTCCTTTTCGGCAATGTTTGGATGGTGGGTATACAAGATTCGGCACAGCCGAATATAACACTCCTACTTGTTTAATATCCATCAACAAAAAGATGGGGTTTATTTTGATTTTCTACTTTTGTGTTCTGGGCCCTTATTAGATTCTAAGACAATCTAGTCATGTCCTTCCGTCTCAATATCTGTCTATCGAAAGCTGTATAAAATCCGAATGGAAAGTGCCGGGTTGCTGAAATATTCCACAAATATTTTGCACTGATGCAGTTTGTTTATCATTGAAAAAGCTCCCCTTTAAGATAAAAAGTATAGAATAAAGTGTTTTTCTCCATGACATCTTTTTTAAAAACGTAATATTACAGAAACCACAATTAAGCTCAAATCCGGTATATTTTGAGAGAGCTTGAAATATAATTCTAATATATACTATAGACCTAATTACTTTCGCAAATAAAATTAAATTTTAAAATTTTCCATTAATTACCATAACAGTTTGATTGCCAAAACTTTTGTATTTAGCCAGAACAAAATCACCCAATGATTTGTAAGCTTGAGTTTCGGTGCCGGTTATGGGTCCGCCATAAACGATATTTCCAGGTAATAAAGTAGCCATATTATAAAAGTATTTTTATTACTTCAAGTCAACTAAAAGTATAAAAGAAAATACAATTTTATTAATTTAGCCGAAAATTTCAATTAATTTAAATTAAACTTTGATTTCTTTACAAACATACATACAATCTACTTAAGTGTTTGTATGTAATAAATGATAAAATTTAAATAACTTTAATCTAATCTATAGATAATAATGTATTTGTATTTTTAAAGATTGCAAATTATAAAGTCATTCTAACAAATAACAAAGACTTCATTTAATATTAATTGATGCACTAGAAACAGAAAATTTCTTCTAAAATTGGAGAAACTTATAGCTTTAATTTCTTTAAAAATTTCAATAAACAACAAGTTCAAAGTTCAAAATTTACTTATTATTTTTTTTTTTTTTTGGAGGGTACAAAAAACACCTTACAAATAAATAATGAGAGAATGGAGTGGGTATGTTTTAATATATTCCATTTGTAAACTTTAGACTTCTTTACAAACGTTTAATAAATTATCATTTTCCCTGAACTATTTTTTTATAAAATGCAAACATTTTATGAAAAACACTCACCTTTTGAATGGATTTAATTTTTTTTATTTGGTTTCTTGTACTCTTGTACAAACAAATATGCAAATAATTCGACTAATTTAACTTCTCACTTTATTTTGTTTTCTGATTTTGTTTCAAAGTGAGAATTACGAGAGTATTTTTGTTTGTATTTATTAAAAAAAAAATGAACCGTTTCTGTCGGTGTCCAGAACACAACTGATAACAAATTTCCAACTAAATTGTGACCAACAACATGCAATTTTTAGCATTTGTGTGTTTTGTCTATAACATTTTATACTTTTAATCATAAACAATTGATAGGATTTTCTAATATAATTTTCAAAACTTTAACAGCAGGTAAAGAAAGAAATGAAAAAGTTTAATTTAAGAATTAGTAAAATAGAATAGAAATTTATTTTTAAATAAAACTAAAACTTTGACGGACGATGTTGTAGAAAGTTGTTTTAGTTTTCTCATTGAGTTTTTTTGTTCACTATATATACCTACAATATTACTAATTTGCCGATATTAATGTAGATAACATGTGTGTATCTAGAGTTAGAGTAATTTTCGGGGTGGAGAGTATGGTGGTAGTTTTTATTTACATACACACCATGTTGTTGGTGTATTACTAGTTAATGGTCATTAATATTTTACATGGATTAAAACATATGATCAATGTTTTTGTTATATTATATACTAATTACCTGTTGCTATTTATTTTATGTTTTTAAATTTACAAATTATTTTTAATCTATGATTAGCAATTATGGCAGATATTTATTTTTTAAACTTGCAAAAATTGATATTTGAAAATTAATAATATTTATTTGCATTATGTTGGCAACTCTTTATACTAACAGCTGTTTGGAACAGTTTTTTAAAGAATGTATTCTTTAAGTAGATTAAATTGGATTTCAATAATTTAGAAAATAATTAGAAATAATTAGGTTTAAGTTTAGGTTTAGAGGGTTTATGCACTATCAAAATGTGCATATCCATTCGGAGACTATAAGGTCCATTGTGATTCCCTTCAAAGAGTGAAGATTCAAAGACAGAGAAGCAAGACAACAAGAAAGAAAAAGAAGAAGTAAGGTAAAGTTGATAGATGAATGGAAACAGGTCTATTCCAAACCAGAAGATTTACTAAGTCAGTACCCTAAAAAAGAGAGAGAGAGAAAATTTATTTCCCCCTGTTAAGCCCAGTCGAAGATGCCACTAATTCCCTTGACAAAACCTAGTAGACTGTGAGGTTTAAAACCCACAATTTCCCCCAGTTCGTCATGGAACCTATTCCCTAGGCATATCAGCCTGAGATTTTGTATCCTATGATAGTAGCAAATTATATGCCCGATCCTCTCTACTTTTCACCTTCGCATAACCTGCAATAGTCCGGTATAGTACTGTCCCGCTTATTGACAAAGGCCCTAACTGAGCAATGTCCCGTTAACATCCTTATCAGAATCCTTAGACTGCATTTATCCAGTCCTATCCAGTCCTATACAGTCTATACTAGGACTGGTTTATGATGTCACGGATTCTTTCGAATATGTTAACCTATAATAGTGACCACTGGGTGGTTTTACCATCCTTTCCCTGTCGTCTATGTATATCAAGGTTCGAAACTAATATAGCCAGTTTGACCGCAACCTCATTACAATGCACATTACAGTGCCCCGGCACCCAACAAAGTCTAATGGCAAACTGTCTCATAATGTCCTTAAGGGCATTTCTGCAATATACAAACAAGAGCTAATATATCATGAGACAAGCCAATGCTTGCAACATAAATTGTCACAACTGACCCCGGATTGATATGACTCCGTATCTGTTCCGCCACAATTCAGATCGCTCTGCTTGGAAGACACTACATTCGGCAGGGAATGCAGGTTGATGATGAGATCGACCCATCTCTCTTTAGAGTGTTAATCGCGTTGATGGCAACATCGATCTGTTGTCTCCAGAGAGTGGAGCAACCCAGAACATCACCAACCAAGCCGTAAATTCTTTCGAATTTAGCGACGCTTTGTCGGTGCTTTTCGAAAAGAAGGATTCTCGAAAACGAAAACTTCGAGAAATCTACCTTTGCCGTATTGGATAGAAATGCGAGAGACCTAAACGTCCTGTTCCTTGCCTTGCCGAATAACCTGTGGACGGTGTTCTCCCAAATGTCCCCTTTGGATTCATTTCGCCTCTTCAGTAGGGCATTTTATTTTATTCTTGAGAAATTTTAAGATATAAGTTTGTCATAAAATACAGGCGAAATGTGGTTAAAAATTATTTTTTGCCAATTTAATTTTGTTTTAAACTTCAGGTTAAAATGTCTCCAAGAAGAAATAGATATTAAACTCTTTTAAAGTCGACATATTGGACTTTTAGACGATAAAATAAATTTTATAAAAAATAAGTCTTCGTGCTGTTATAATATCTCAAATATCTCCTAAATGTAGTTTTTTAATCATAAGAACAGATTAGTATTCAGCGCTGTTTAGTCCTTTAGAAAAAAGCATGTCATTCCGTTGGCCATTTCAAAATATAATTTTCGGAACCTACATAAGTATAAAATATTATTAGTCCGAATCTTTATAAATGATCATTTGTGCATCTTTATTGAAACCAATTTTCTGAGGATCTCAGGTATCATCCGATTTCATATCTTCGATAATTAAGCATGTCAGACATGCTTTCGAGAAGTTTGTTTTTGAAAATCGGAAAAACGGCTAATAAATAACACAGATGATTTTTTCCAGACAAACAAACAAATTTTCAAATTGTTTTAATTTAATTATTTAATAAATGATTTCAACAAGTTGTTTTATTAATTTAATACAATAAAATAAAATTAAAAACAAAACATTCCGATTTTTGTTTCTTAATTTGACATTTAACTCAGCCATGATACGAAAACACAACTCTGAAAACCCTTGTAATAATTATAATTACAAAAATAAAATGTTAAATTCTAAACAATACTAATTATTCACACCTCAAACAAAAATCATATGTTTTGTTGTTGTTGCTGTTCTTTTGAAAAATTCTTTATAATGAATGTGGGAGGTAGTAGTAGTAGTAGAAACAGAGAGCACAAATATATTCTATCAGTGGCTGGCTATAAGAAAGATATCGGGGGTAGTGAGGCAAGGAACCCTAAACAGAAATGAATTAAAATGATTTTTTATTAGTATAATTGTATGAGTGTTTATTTTTATATTCATTTCTTGTGTTTTTGTTTTACTCATAAAATCAAATGAAATTAACAAAAGAGAGGACAGAATTGGTATAAGAATTTAATTCTTAAGTTTTAACCAAACGACCAACAATCCACTCATATATCAAATATTTTATTTTATATTTTTTAACACAATAAAACGAACAATCAAAACGTAGATAAACATAATCAGTAATTTTCTTTACTAAAGAAAAAAAAAAAGAAAAATTAAAGCAGCAAATTATTAAGTTATTGTCTGGATTCACAAAGAAGTTTGGAAGAAGAAAAAGAAAAGAAAAAACGTCATGGTTAAATTCTACAAGGTGACAATAAATCGTACAGAATGGGAAATACCAGAAATCTATCAACAATTACAACAAGTAGGCTCTGGTGCCTATGGACAGGTGTGCAAGGCCCTGGTAAGAGGTACTAACATGTATGTTGCCATTAAAAAGTTGGCACGCCCTTTTCAATCGGCGGTGCATGCTAAACGTACTTATCGAGAATTGAGACTACTCAAACACATGGATCATGAGAATGTTATTGGTCTATTGGATGTCTTTCATCCGCACCCCCCAAATGTAACCTTGGAAAATTTTCAACAGGTGTATTTAGTTACTCATCTTATGGATGCCGATCTAAACAATATTATAAGGACACAACGTCTGTCCGATGAACATGTGCAGTTTTTGGTTTATCAAATATTACGTGGTCTAAAATACATACACAGTGCTGGTATTATACACCGTGATTTAAAACCCTCCAATATTGCAGTAAATGAGGATTGCGAATTGAGAATTTTAGATTTTGGTTTGGCACGGCCAACAGAAAATGAAATGACCGGTTATGTGGCCACACGTTGGTATCGTGCCCCGGAAATTATGCTTAACTGGATGCATTATAATCTAACCGTGGATATTTGGTCGGTGGGTTGTATTATGGCTGAATTACTTACTGGACGCACTTTATTCCCGGGCACTGACCACATACACCAGTTAAATTTGATTATGGAAGTTTTGGGTACTCCGCCCGATGATTTTATGCAAAAAATTTCCTCGGAAAGTGCACGCAACTACATTAAATCATTGCCTCCCATGAAGAGACGTGATTTTAAGACTTTCTTCAAGGGCGCCAACCCATTAGCCATTGATTTGTTAGAGAAAATGTTAGAATTAGATGCAGAGAAACGTATTACTGCTGAACAGGCCTTGGCACATCCTTATATGGAAAAATATTCAGAACCAAGTGATGAACAAACTTCACCCTTGTACGATCAAAGTTTTGAAGATATGGATTTGCCCGTTGAAAAATGGAAGGATTTGATATACAAAGAAGTTATAAACTTTAAACCGCCACCATCGTTTGCTCAAATTTTACAAGAAATAAAATAAGTATTATTAAAGTTAGGGAAAGCTTTGGTTTTCTTTCACATTGTGCAATTATTTGACTATATAGAACAATAATTATATGACTCTTGGAACAAATGGGTATTAAACATCAAAGTTAATATGATATTATTTTTTGTCAAATATTTAAATACTGTGGAAGTTATATTAGTTAAACCAAAGTTTTTTATGCTTAAAATCACGCATTATCAGTTGATTTTAGTTTTCATACTGATGATAACTTGACTTTACTTATTTAAATTTTTTTAATTTTTGAACAGTTGCTCAAAAATATTGATGGTATTATATGATAGATCTGTGGTGTTAAATACACTCAACGTTTATACGTAACTTAAATAATTGTTCATAAATGTTTGTTAAATACACATACATACGTACATGTATATTTTTTATTTTAATTGTCCTTGCTCACGTACAAAGTGCCTTAATATTTTACAAAATACCAAAAATTATAAATATTGCCTTAAATTAGAAATGTTTTGTTAAAAGAAATATCAAACATAAATATTATTTTTATAATTTTATTATTTTTTTTTGTGATGTTTTTTAAATGTTTGTGCAATAAAGTTGTATCTTATATACGTAAAGAAAGTTTTATTTGTTTAATAATCATAAATGTTTATAATCGGAACAACTAAACTGAACACTTACTGATATAGGTCTGGATCAGGACCCATCTCAAATTTGATTTCTAAATAGTGTTTTATGTGAAACTAAACTAAAACTCAATTAGAAGAGAACTAGAACTGAACTAGAAGAGAAATAGAATAGAATTAGAACAGAACTAGATCCAGAACTATAACAGAACTATAACTATATATAGAATTGAACCAGAATTCAAATAGAACAGAGCTAGAACTCTAGAATTGAATTAAAACAGAACTATAACTTAACAAGAACTAAAATAGATCTTCTGAATAGAACTAAAACGGAACTAGAACAAGGAATGAACTTAAATGAACTACAGCTAAACTAGAACAAAAATTGATAGTTCAGAACTATCAGTTGTAGTCCAGTTTTTGATTAGAACTAGAACTAAAATCTTAATGAGAACGGAACTGGAATAGAACCACAACTTAACTAGAATTCATATAGAATTGAAGTGGAACAATACTTAATTAGAACTAAAACCGATCAAGAAACTGAACTAGAACAGGATATAAATGTACCAAGAACTTGAAATGAACTATATCTATTCTAGATCGCAATTAGAATTAATTAAAAATTGGACTAGATATGACCTAGAAGTAACCCATAACTTAAATATAAACGAACTAGAACTCATCGAGAACTTAACTAGATCAAAACTAGAACATGTATTGAACATGTTCCAAAAGTAGAAGAAGTTTTTAAAAAGTAGTAGATCTGAACAATTTCCCTTAAATCAGTAATCCATTAAAAGCAATAAAACTCTTCATTCACTTTGTATATATTATTTCACTTATTTTTATTAAAATATATTTTAATTTATATTTAAAATTACACACAAAAGACATTCGCAAAATAAACAAAAAACATCCTTCGTCCCTTCCTTCTTTCCTTTATCTACGATATCTATAGCGTTTGAAATGGAACCACAACTGAAAGATATTATTATGAAATTGACAACGAAAACCACGCTTATAACTAAACTCCCATTCGCGATGAACAATCTTAAAAGCAATATCCTCATAGGGTGGTCCAGCGTGAAAACGTAAAATAGCAAAATCTGGATTATCTTCACATTGTGTAAGGAAATATTGTGGTGTTTTCGATTTGTCTATAAGATCCGGATAGAATATATTAAATTTATAACCTTGAACAATTTTCGGTGGAGGATTGTCCATATCATAATGCGTTTGATTGTATTTATTCCATTCGAAGCCGGTGTGTACACGATTAAAGTAACGAGGTTTGCGTGGACGATATTTGTCAGTGGCTAGTTGTATGGCGAGTGAATTGTCGCAAGGCATTTCAACACTAAATTCAACTTCATCATTAGACATGCCCTTGCGAGCTTCGCTACGCATATTAACTTCCTCTTGGCTGAAGTTAACATTTTCTGAATTATTTTCCAGCAACTGTTGTCTTTGATATTTCAAATTCATTTCATCCTCTTCTTCGTCCACAATATTAAGGGAAGAGAACTGCATTTCAGAGGATACATATTGAGGACTGTAGTTGCCTTCATTGTAGAGATTAAAGCAATCATTTTCATATATCTCCTGTTGGGTTTCTTCGCTTTCTTCTCTGGCCTCCTGCGTTTCGCGGCCCTCATGATGTTGTGGTGAACTCTCCTGGGGTTCTTCTTTAACTGTTGAAGTTTTAAGTAGATCCAATTTTTCTCTGAGTTTCTTTTGATGATGATCTCTTAAGCGTGCTCTCGCCATATGAGCCTTTAGTTGTGATAATATATTTTCCCAATAACTAATATCCACACCTTCCGTACGAGCCTCAATTTTACCTTCTATTTTGGCTCTCATTTCATCTAATTGTGTTATGGTTTTGTTACGAAATATACCCGTCACATCTTTCACCACACTCTCGTGTATACCCTCCCGACGAGAACTTGCTGCTTCATCTTGTTCTGCTTGTTTTCTTTGTTTTTGTAACTCATCTTCTACAATAATGGTCATATCATTCCAAAAATCTATATGCTCACCTTTTTCCAATTCAATATAGACTTTAATGTCCACTAGTAGATCTTCTAAATCTTTGATGCACAAACCATTAAGTATATAGTAGGGCTCATGCATTTGCATTTCGATGGCATCCTCCAACTTTGAACTGTTTATGTATTGGGCTAGTAAATCTATAGGTTTTGCTCTGCCATCTTGTATACGTATTTCACTTCGCAAGCGAGCTTGTTCCAAATGAAATTGATCTTCTTGTTTCTCCCATTCATGAAATTGTGCTGCCTCCTTTTGTCTTTGCTGCAATACCATTTCTTCTTCTCGTGCTTGTTTTTCTTTTTCTCTCTCCAACCTACGTTTCTTAACCTTTTCTAATTCCAATTTATTCTCCATTTGTTTTTGTCGATTTAATGCCTCCACTGTCTGTATTGGGACATCTTTTAAACCTTGTTTCTGTAATTTTTTATTCCATACAAAGGTCGAGGTCAAGTTGGAATCACCAAAAGGATTATCTTGATCTGTATACGTTTGGTATTCATTATCCCAGCCCATTCGTTGTTTTCTTCTTAATTCCTTGGCTTCCTTTTCTCTCAAACGTCTTTCTCGTTTTTGCTCTGGTGTCTCTTTTGCCTTAAGCTCTTCTTTAAGGCGCTTCCTTTCTAATTCCTCTTTGATACGTCTTTCCTCGAGAGCTTTTAATAGTTGGACATTTTTGGGTAGAGATTCATCACCACTGGATGAAGACGATGAAGAACTTGAAGAAGAAGATGAGCGGTATTTTTTCTTTGATTTTGATTTATGCTTATGTTTTGACTTGTGCTTGTGGTGTCTTTCACGATGATCATCCTTTTTATGTTTTTTATCTTTAGGCATTTTGTTTTATTAGTCTTTCACTTTTATTTTTTATGTTAAGAATTTGCAAAATTTTATGGAAAAGAAGAAATAAAACTCAACTGAATGTAAACGTATAAAATTATTTATATTTTGTGTAAAACAATGTGGAATTGATACAACAGCGTTGTTTATGAAAGTTGCCAGATGAATTACATATTTGTAAAGTGAAACAAAAATAATAAATAAAAAAAAGTCGATATCCAAAGTATACATTTCTAAAGGATTAGTAGCGCTAGTTCCGAATTTGGATTCAGAATGTCTCCATCACTTCAGATTTCCAAAATATCTTGTCCTAAAAACTGAAAAAACATGTATGGCCACATTTGAGACTTTATAAAAGCGGGAAGACACCTTCATTTATAACATCCGTTATGACGTTTGGCGGTTTGAAAATAAATGTTTAATGCCCATAATTTTACGTCAAAAACTTCATTAGACAATATCTTTGCAAGTACAGGAGATTTTTAAATACGGGTTTTAGGGAAAAAAAGATGACAAATGAACAAACATACCTACGATTGTAATAGAATAAAGGCGCTAATAGAATAAAGGAGCTAAAATTTTTGGTTAAGATGTCACGAAGAAGCATGCAGATATGGCGGAGGTGAAACCTCGACAGAGTGGAATTTCTGATGACATAACAGATTTTAACAACAAATGTGTCTTCGCGCTTTTATAGATTAGGATTTACCGGTGCTTAATTCTTTAGAAGAGTGTACATCAGGAAATTGATTTCAACATAATTACGAAAAGTCAGACATCGTTGAATTTAGCCTATTTAACGATGTCTGTAGGTATGTAGTTTATTTATTTATTTACTTAAGATCACTGATATCTTCGGGATTCAGAATATATGTACTTTATAAAATTAAATTGCAGAAATTACATACGAAATAACAAACTTCCCTCCATTTAGTCAATAGACTAGTACAAAGTCTAGTCAAACGTACTAGACTAGACAATCTATTAATGTTTGGTACTGTTTGGAAATTCAGAAATTCCTATTACGGAATAAGAAATTTCTTCCACGAGGTATGGTAACGCTTATAACACCACACATTCAAAGACGATAAAACAGCTGTTGGACACCGGTTGCCAGCTGGTGACCAGCTGATGCTGTTTTTATTACGACAGTTCTTTACTAAAAATATTACAAATCAATTCATTTGCACGAAAAGTTATGAATTAAATTAAACACAAAAAATGCATAGAATAATTAAAAACTGTTCAAAAATCATTCCACTTTCTGGAAATGCATTAAAAATTCGACATGTTTCTGCCCTATATATAACCGGAGACAAAGCCAGTGAAAACTATGTAACACTACAGCCCTATATGGATTTTAAACAAACATTTCAGAATATGGAACAGTTGGAGCACTCAGTGGAAAAAAGAAAACTAGCAATTGATTTGAAAAAAGTATTGGAAATGTTTGGCACCTATAGGGAGGGTATTAAGGCTATGGACAAATTAGAAGATGAACGTGAAATGATAGCAAAACAATTGAAGCAACTTGCTATATCAGCCCAAAAGGATGAAGATCTGATTAATGATCTTAAAGAAAAAGGCAAACACTTGAGGAATGATTTGAAAGCGATGAAAACTAATTTCTATCCCATTGAAGATGAATTTATACAAGCATTTTTGCATTTACCAAATACTTTACATCCCCAGTGCCCGGAGGGAGAACATGAAAGAGTTCTTTACCGTAGTAAGCAACAGTTAATGGAAGCGGAAAAATCTCACTTAGAACATGATGATTTGATATATTTCATTGACAATAGTCGCTACTACATGATAAATGAGGCTGCCGAATTTGATATAAGAGTTCCTCAAGCTTTAATGAGATATTTTCTTGATAAAGGCAATTTCATTCAAACTGCTAATCCAGATTTTACTCGCTGTGTTCTGTTAGAAGCAAATGCTACACCCATGGATCAATATCATAAGGTTATGGAGGCACATTTACAAAATAAACTAAATGCTGCCTATTTAACGGGTGGAGGATCTTTTGAAAGTTTTCTGGGTGCTGTAACGAAACTTTGTGTTTATCCTACAGTTTTACCTTTAAAATTTGTTAGTCTGGGTCGGATTTATGAAAGAACTAACAGCAGCAATACCAATAACCTTTTCACAGCCACACAAAATAATGCTGTGCAAACATTTGTGGCCACTACTGATCTGCAGGGAGCAGAAGAACAAATGGAAAATATTTTAAATCTTTGTGTGGATTTCTACAAAACTTTTAATATACACTTCCGTGTTGTGTATGTCAATGCAGCTCAACTAACACCTGCCGAAAGTTTACGTGCTCAAATTGAAATCTATTCACCCCATGAGAAACGTTATATATGTGTCGGCCATGTTAGTAATTACAAGGACTTTGTTTCAAAACGTATACTTTTCACTATGCGCCAACAAAAAGACTACCACTTCCTGCATCTGGTAGGTGGTCCTGTCCTCTATACCTCACGTTTAATAGCTGCACTCATTGAACATGGTGAAAAATTGGATTATGAAAAAGTTCTGGAAGCTTTAAAATTAAAAACCCCCAATGATGCTGCTACGCCTACAAATGCTTTAAATGAATTTAAATCTTTGTTTAAATAAAACAATATATTAATTTTTTTAAAATATGTTTTCTTTTGTTTTTCTTGTTGTAAAAAATCTCATTTTGTTTAGGTTTTAACACTTAATATTAGCTTTTGGATGGCCTTTGCGAAAAATTTCACATTTGGGAGTGGTAAATGTTATGCCCTTGATATTGTCATCGGAAGTTACAGAGTTACTGCGTGGCTTAAAGCTGTAGGTTGTGTTGTAACTGAGTTTGCTAAAAACCAAAGAATCCTTCTGAAATGAAAAAATAATAATATTAAAGGTTTGGTTAATGATTGCATTAAGAACTGCTTGTTTTTTTTTTTAATTTTTATTATGTAGAAAAAGTTTGTTAAAATCTATTCTAGATTAAGTAGAACTGAACTAGAACTGAACTTACTTCAGTTCTAGTTCAGTTCTAGTACAGTTCTAGTACAGTTCTAGTTCAGTTCTAGTTCAGTTCTAGTTAAGTTCTAGTTCAGTTCTAGTTCAGTTCTAGTTCATATTAATATTAAAGGTTTGGTTAATGATTGCATTAAGAACTGCTTGTTTTTTTTAAATTTTTATTATGTAGAAAAAGTTTGTTAAAATCTATTCTAGATTAAGTAGAACTGAACTAGAACTGAACTGGTTCTGGTACAGTTCTAGTACAGTTCTAGTTCAGTTCTAGTTCAGTTCTAGTTAAGTTCTAGTTCAGTTCTAGTTCAGTTCTAGTTCAGTTCTAGTTCAGTTCTAGTTCAGTTCTAGTTCTAGTTCAGTTCTAGTTCAGTTCTAGTTCAGTTCTAGTTCAGTTCTAGTTCAGTTCTAGTTCAGTTCTAGTTCTAGTTCAGTTCTAGTTCAGTTCTAGTTCAGTTCTAGTTCAGTTCTAGTTCAGTTCTGGTTCAGTTCTGGTTCAGTTCTAGTTCAGTTCTAGTTCAGTTCTAGTTCAGTTCTAGTTCAGTTCTAGTTCAGTTCTAGTTCAGTTCTAGTTCAGTTCTAGTTCAGTTCTAGTTCAGTTCTAGTTCAGTTCTAGTTCAGTTCTAGTTCAGTTCTAGTTCAGTTCTAGTTCAGTTCTAGTTCAGTTCTAGTTCAGTTCTAGTTCAGTTCTAGTTCAGTTCTAGTTCAGTTCTAGTTCAGTTCTAGTTCAGTTCTAGTTCAGTTCTAGTTCAGTTCTAGTTCAGTTCTAGTTCAGTTCTAGTTCAGTTCTAGTTCAGTTCTAGTTCAGTTCTAGTTCAGTTCTAGTTCAGTTCTAGTTCAGTTCTAGTTCAGTTCTAGTTCAGTTCTAGTTCAGTTCTAGTTCAGTTCTAGTTCAGTTCTAGTTCACTTCTAGTTCAGTTCTAGTTCAGTTCTAGTTCAGTTCTAGTTCAGTTCTAGTTCAGTTCTAGTTCAGTTCTAGTTCAGTTCTAGTTCCAGTTCTAGTTCAGTTCTAGTTCAGTTCTAGTTCAGTTCTAGTTCAGTTCTAGTTCAGTTCTAGTTCAGTTCTAGTTCAGTTCTAGTTAGTTCAGTTCTAGTTCAGTTCTAGTTCAATTCTAGTTCAGTTCTAGTTCAGTTCTAGTTCAGTTCTAGTTCAGTTCTACTTCAGTTCTAGTTCAGTTCTAGTTCAGTTCTAGTTCAGTTCTAGTTCAGTTCTAGTTCAGTTCTAGTTCAGTTCTAGTTCAGTTCTAGTTCAGTTCTAGTTCAGTTCTAGTTCAGTTCTAGTTCAGTTCTAGTTCAGTTCTAGTTCAGTTCTAGTTCAGTTCTAGTTCAGTTCTAGTTCAGTTCTAGTTCAGTTCTAGTTCAGTTCTAGGTTAGTTCTAGGTTAGTTCTAGTTCAGTTCTAGTTCAGTTCTGGTTCAGTTCTAGTTCAGTTCTAGTTCAGTTCTAGTTCAGTTCTAGTTCAGTTCTAGTTCAGTTCTAGTTCAGTTCTAGTTCAGTTCTAGTTGAGTTCTAGTTCAGTTCTAGTTCAGTTCTAGTTCAGTTCTAGTTCAGTTCTAGTTCAGTACTAGTTCAGTTCTAGTTCAGTTCTAGTTCAGTTCTAGTTCAGTTCTAGTTCAGTTCTAGTTCAGTTCTAGTTCAGTTCTAGTTCAGTTCTAGTTCAGTTCTAGTTCAGTTCTAGTTCAGTTCTAGTTCAGTTCTAGTTCAGTTCTAGTTCAGTTCTAGTTCAGTTCTAGTTCAGTTCTAGTTCAGTTCTAGTTCAGTTCTAGTTTAGTTCTGGTTCAGTACTGGTTTAGTTCTAGTTGAGTTCTAGAACTATCTATTAGTAATTGCTGTTTATATTTGACTTGAAAACTCGCTTAAAGTATGGGGAAAAATAAATTTACTGAAAAACACAATCATCGTAATCTTTAGCGAAATTAGTTTTGTTTTTAATCTAACAGAAAGCTAAGTAAGTTAGAATAGTAAGATCACTGCCCTAAAATCTGACGAGTACAGGAAATAGATCTAACCTTTTTTACAAACATCTCATTTACTGATTTGTTTTAAATTCTTTATTTTTTAATTTGAGAATTTTCAACAAATATTAATTAAAATTTTTTTAATACATTGAGAATTTTTACTAAAATTGTAAAACAAAACTATTGTTCTTGCTAATGACATTTATTAAAAAATAATTTACATAATTTCAATACTTTCACTGGCTAGACCTTGTTGTTCCTATAATGATTAAATATTATGAATCAATATTGAAAGAAAACACTCAAAACGTGTTTAATTGCTTATTCATTGCTTCTTTCTACATACAACATTTTCAAATAAAAAAATTAACAAAAACAAATTTTCAAAAAACATATTGCATTTTACAATATTTTTTGATGGTTTGGTAACAAAGTACATATTTTGGCATTGGGTTATTAAAAACGTTGAAAACGTGATACTAAAACAATTATAAATAAAACAAAACAAAAACAAAAAAAAAACGTAAATGCGACACTACTCATATTACTTACAATATTTATTTACTACATACAATTTTACAATTAGAGCAACTAATAGTAGTTTATTATATTACTTACATTTACACGTATTGCATTGTATTCACCTTCTCCGCAGTTCGTTTCAATGGGACAAAGTTCATAAATTCTAAAGGAAAAAAATAACGAAAAGAAAAAACAATTGACAAGTGACAATTTTTCAATCTACTTACACGTATTTAAGAGCTTATGCCACCCTTTTATGCTAGAAAACAAAGCTTAAGTTTTAATATGTTTTCCATGTGAATAACAACGGAGCAGAAAAAGGGGCAAAGATAGTAACAACGCAATGCCTTTGGAGGAGTTGGATGGCGAGAAAAAAGTAATACTTATGGTCAGAGTTGTTTTTTTGTTTTGTTTTAAAATTACTAAAAAAGGGGTGTAATTAAATTGAAAAGTTTTAGATTTTAGAAAAAAAAAAATAATGTTTATAAGGTTTGTTTTGTATTGATGAATACTCTAAATTTGAAAAGGAAAATTGTTTAAATTCATATTTTCGTAAATTTTTAGAAATAAATTGATTATGATTTTTTTAATATAAGGAGGAGTTATTCGAAAGTTTTATTTCCCAAAATAGAGCATTTTAGAAAATATTTTAAAACAAAGATTTAGCAACAATTTTTATTAAAGGAGAATTTATCGAAAATTCGGATAAAAACGTTCTTCTCATGGGTGTATCAGATTAATGTTCGGATTCTAGTACACTCGGTTAGATCAGATTATATTTTAGATTCTAATTCTGATACATAATAGTTCAGTTCTAGTTTAGTTCTAGTTCAGTTCCAGTTCAGTTCCAGTTCAGTTCCAGTTCAGTTCCAGTTCAATTCCAGTTCAGTTCCAGTTCAGTTCCAGTTCAGTTCCAGTTCAATTCCAGTTCAGTTCAGTTCTAGTACAGTTTTCATAGCTGTTTATAAATTTTACGCTGTTAAAAAGATCAACTAGCATTTTAAGGGTGGCACTTATGAAAACACTTGATAAGATCAAACTTACTTTTCATCTCTTGTAAAGAGACCAGATATTATCACCAACATACCCAATTTACGATTAGGACGATATTTCACATCGAATTTTTCCGCTTTCGAGTTATAAGTACTATTATTGTTATTTATATTTAAATTGGTCGTAGAACTAGATATGGAACTGATAGCAGATGAGGAGGAGAGTGATGTTAATGAACTACCACCACCATCGTTGTATAAATTGTTTTTCGTATAATATCTATCATCATTAAATGCATTACTCAGACCATCTCTTAGGAGTTGATGTTCTTTGCCACATTTTAATGGACTAAAGGCTTGAGTGGGTGATTTGGTGGTATTGTAGAGTATAGAGTGTTTATCCGATTTTAAGCGTCTTTTGCCATTAATAGACATGGCCTGTACTTGTATATAATAACTGGAGTCTGGTAATAAATTAGGAATTTCAAATTGATGACGCTAAAGTAGATAAAAGAGATCAAACAGATTTTAGTTTATAAAAAAATAGGAAATTTTATTAACTTGACAATAAGCAACTTTGGGAAAATTAGATTTTTAAAAAGCATTTTAGTAAAAATAAGTTGAGCTTTTAATACTTACATCCTTAACAAAGGCCTCATTCGATATTAAAGATTCATCGCGTACATTATTAACATATAATGACCAGATAATTTTATATTTTTCAATTGGAAGATTTGATTTGGAAGCACACCATACTATTTTTATATTAACATGTTTACCATTCAAATGTGATGACACGACTTTTAAATCTGCTGGAGCTTTTGGTGGTTTTGGATCTGAAAAAGGAAATATGTAAAAATATTCGATATTCTTAAATCTATTAAAAACTTGTTAAGTTCAGAAGAAATGTTAAAATTTTAAAGTTTATTTTTAAATTCAAAAGTTGAACATTTTGAGGCTTTATTAAATGATTTATAAAAGTTTTTTATTAATTAAAGTACTTACGATTAGGTAAAGTAAAAGCCTGTGAAGGTTCCGAGTAGCCTCTGAAACCATAAGCATTAATAGCTGCCACTCTTACTTGATACCAACGACCAGGTCTCAAGTAAAATGCTACAGTAGTTCTGTAAGATGTTCAAAATTAAAGAAATAATAATTGTATCGTTAAATTCTCCTGATCTAGTTTTAACTTTTTAATTATACTTTACTTACAACAATATATTCAAATCTAAAATTTCTGCTAATTTTTGCACTGCCTGATATTGCCAAGGGCCCAATTTACGCGGCGATAACAACGAGCCAATATGATAACGCACCTCTACGTGAAAATAATACGAAGAATTTGATTCCAAAGTTATTTCCACTTTTTGTTCACGCGGTATAAGGCCACATTTTAATATCTTTGGTATGGGCGGTAGCCGACTATCGTCTCGCACACCTATAGGTTGCATACACACCGGTCCACAGGCTGAATTGCAACATTTTTGCACTTCGGGACAATCAAAATCATAACTGCAATTGTCCAAGCAGGAGAGTTTTTGTAACGGTTGTACGTTGATATTTTGAAAGATGGCATTTTGCATGGCTGGACAGTAACCTCTGCGGGGGGCTTTGATCATGTCAATTTGGCATTTTGTTAGACAGGGTTCATAGTCGATATTATTGCCTCTCAAAGTTTCATGACACTTGGCATAACATTGTAGTTCAAGTATTTTATCTCGTACATCAATATTCGATAATTGTTGCGACTGTAATGATCGGAATCTGCCACCACCTCCACCCCCACCGCTATTGCGATTGTGATGGCGAGTTTGAACTTTTAAAGGTAACTGTAGTAACCATAATGTGACAATTATAAATTTCAATATTTTATTGATCATTTTTTATATTGTCCAAAAATATTAGCAAAAATAATTGGCCCCTTTTATCGTTATTAAACTATAAGTACTACATGTTCAAAATGTGGTCTAGAACTGCAAAGAAATTAAAAACATAAGGCGTTAAATTAATAAAAAAAAAGGAAAATTTTCCCACTGGGATTTTAAATTCACTAAAACTTTTTTCAAAATCTTTTTCACTCAAAATTTGATAGAAAAAAATAAATAATTAAACAAAATTCATAGTTGTTTTAAAAATTTCTCGCTAATTTATGGCGCCTATCAAACGAAAACCCGCTAAAATTAAAAGTTTTAGACGTAAAGTCCATAATATTTCAACACAAGTTACATCACGCGATTTAGATGCAACTTTTGAATTAATATGTGAAGATCCTAAAACATCATACGATATTTATAATCATCAAATATTAAAACGCAAACAACAAAAGTATCATAATCTTCTATTGGCTGGTGATGTTGTTAGACTCTCAGCTGAAACAGTGCGTCAACCAGTGCCCTATAGTGTTGGACCACAAATTATATACAAAAACGAAAGAAGATTATGTTAACAATCATTGACTAGATGGTGTGGCAATAAATACTTGTAATGACAATGATTATGGAAAATATTCACAATGTTGTTGTTGTCGTTATGTATGGCATTTCAATCATAAAGTATTTTAATCTTAAAAACATCGTTAAAAATCACCAAAGGTGGCGATATCTACATCTATGTAAGTGCATTATTGTTGTAACCATAAAAAAATCAATAAAATATTAATGTTTGCAGCTTATAGTTTTGTTATTACTGCTTGTTGTTGCACATTGTTAAAATAGTTGTTGTTGTTGTTGCAGTTATAAAATCGTTTCAGATAATACTACATTTCAGATATGTATAAAAATCGATTACTTAAAACTAAAATACATACTTTTATAATTTGTAAATACTGATGCAGTTTTATTTGTAAAAAAAGCACAATGATAATGTTAGAAAGCCGATAATTACATAAATATTAGGGTCCGAAAGAAACGTTTTTTTTTATTATATATTAAAACTGTATAAAAAAATAAGGATTCGTAATATTTAAATTATACCAATTTTGGAGAATACCTTAGTGCATATTTAGATCTATAGTTTGGACCATAGTGTGGTCTATAGGTTGACTATAGTTTGTATAAAAGACCATAGACTAGATCATAGGCTACACTATAGACTAAACACTAGACTGTACACTACACCATAGACTAGACTATAGTCTAGTATATAGTCTATAGTCTATAGTCTATAGTCTATAGACTAGACTATAGACTAGACTAAGACTAGACTATAGACTAGACTATAGACTAGACTATAGACTAGACTATAGACTAGACTATAGACTAGACTATAGACTAGACTATAGACTAGACTATAGACTAGACAATAGACTAGACTATAGACTAGACTATAGACTAGACTATAGACTAGACTATAGACTAGACTATAGACTAGACTATAGACTAGACTATAGACTAGACTATAGACTAGACTATAGACTAGACTATAGACTAGACTATAGACTAGACTATAGACTAGACTATAGACTAGACTATAGACTAGACTATAGACTAGACTATAGACTAGACTATAGACTAGACTATAGACTAGACTATAGACTAGACTATAGACTAGACTATAGACTAGACTATAGACTAGACTATAGACTAGACTATAGACTAGACTATAGACTAGACTATAGACTAGACTATAGACTAGACTATAGACTAGACTATAGACTAGACTATAGACTAGACTATAGACTAGACTATAGACTAGACTATAGACTAGACTATAGACTAGACTATAGGACTAGACTATAGACTAGACTATAGACTAGACTATAGACTAGACTATAGACTAGACTATAGACTAGACTATAGACTAGACTATAGACTAGACTATAGACTAGACTATAGACTAGACTATAGACTAGACTATAGACTAGACTATAGACTAGACTATAGACTAGACTATAGACTAGACTATAGACTAGACTATAGACTAGACTATAGACTAGACTATAGACTAGACTATAGACTAGACTATAGACTAGACTATAGACTAGACTATAGACTAGACTATAGACTAGACTATAGACTAGACTATAGACTAGACTATAGACTAGACTATAGACTAGACTATAGACTAGACTATAGACTAGACTATAGACTAGACTATAGACTAGACTATAGACTAGACTATAGACTAGACTATAGACTAGACTATAGACTAGACTATAGACTAGACTATAGACTAGACTATAGACTAGACTATAGACTATACTATAGACTAGACTATAGACTAGACTATAGACTAGACTATAGACTAGACTATAGACTAGACTATAGACTAGACTATAGACTAGACTATAGACTAGACTATAGACTAGACTATAGACTAGACTATAGACTAGACTATAGACTAGACTATAGACTAGACTATAGACTAGACTATAGACTAGACTATAGACTAGACTATAGACTAGACTCTAGACTAGACTATAGTCTAGACTATAGACTAGACTATAGACTAGACTATAGACTAGACTGTTGTCTAGACTATAGACTAGGCTGTTGTCTAGACTATAGACTAGACTGTTGTCTAGACTAGAGACTATAGTTTATACTATAGTCTGGACTTTAGATTATAGTCTAATCAATATAATAGTATAAACTATACTTTTTTCTATAGATCATTAATTCTTCATGAAACGTAGCTCCTTTCAACAATTTACCACAATTTAAAGGAATTTAAATATGTTATCGTAAATTACCCAAACCGGATCCCTTAAGAATGTTGATTCGAATAACGGCCAATTGTAATGGAGTGAAAACTAAGATGAATAAAGATTTTAATACAGAAACGAAAAAAAGAAATCAAATGTGTTTATTGGCATTTTTATTGCATGTCATTTAATATTGGCCGCAGTACGCAGCGGTGGTAATGACGGAAACATGCAGCTTTTTATGGTCTTTGGCGGCAAATTTTTATATTGTTTAGATGATTGGTAGTAGTTACTCTTTACATACATACACATGAGTATGTATGAATGTACGTATGTATATAAATTATATATGTATAGGAAAAAAATTAAAATAACTCTAACCGGTTGTAGAACCTCTCAATAATGTTTAGACATTAAAAAATGCTGGGAAAATAAGCAAAAAGTTGTGGAAAAAAATGAAGAAACCTTCTTCAAGGATTAATAGCTGATTTAAAACGGACAGCTAAAAATGAAGACGAAGAAAAAAATGTAAAACGAGAAAAAACTGATTACAAATGGAATGCAAACATCATGGCTATTAAGTATATTAAAGTTTGATGTGATGAAATTTCCCAAACTCTCTGATGAGGAACTTGAAAGAACGAATAAAAGATTGAACGAATGGATTGGACTGGACGGACGGACGCATATTTAATTCACATTTCACACACAAAAATGTATGTATATTCTAGATAACTGACTGACAGAGTGACGTAGTGACTGCTAGAGCTGAAGCTGGAACTGTAGCTGGCAGTTAGTATGAAAGGCATGTTTCGTTTAGAAGGCATTTTTCTTTTTACGCATTTAACTGTCTGCAACAAGTATTGATTTGTATCTTTTCGTTTCATTTATTTCTTTATTTTGTTGGTGTTGTTGTTCTAATGGTGCTGATGTCGGTGGTGTTGTTCATCGTTAGTGTTTTGTGGTGGTAGTAGTGCTGCCTAAACAGATTTTTAATGCATTTTAATTGCTAAGGGTCTATCATGTTCGATTTATGATATTCATGTTGTTCGGTTCTTTGTTTTTTTTTTTTTTTGTTTAATTTATGTTGTTAGTGTTTATCACTTCTTCTTAAATTTCATGTATTCTTTGAGTTTTTTTTTTTGCCTTAATTTTTGAACAAAATGTCTTTGACCTTTTCAATGCCAATTTTTTGCTTTCAGTTTCCAATTAGCAGTTAAGAGAGATTCCTAAACTGTTAGTTGGTATCAAGTTAAAAGTGTGTTCTTTAATATTTTGTGAGTTATTTTTAATGAAATTTTAATATCTGATAAATAATGTAGAGAGTAGTAGAACTGAATAATATTAGGCTCCTTTCATCAATAACACTGGTCTACAGATTTATATTTATAATAAAGTTGGGAATTTTTTAAATTAATGAACATAAATTCGATTATTGCTTTAGATTTGTGCTGATCTAATTTGAAATCCGGTTTGAAAATATCGTTTTTGGCCATATTTGACACAGCGTTGATACCTTTATTTATGAAATCTGTTATGTTAACTGAAAGTCCAATCTGTTGACATAAAAATATAAGTTTTGAGATGACATAATCAAATTTTTAAACGCTGTTGTAACGTTTCAAAAATGACAAAAAAACTGGGCGTTTTTTTAATTTTATGACATGATATCTTGGAAATGTAATGTGATATGTAAATTCTGTGCGCAGATGCGGAATCAGAGCGAATTTTCATCTTTTAAACTGTTCGCTAGAACATTTCTTGTTTATATATTTGGGGTCTTCAGAACATCGATTTAAACAAAAAGACAGACTTAATCGACTCCCCTATCTACTAGGATCCAGAATATATATAGTATATACTTTAGAACTTCTCATCTTTTGAGCTCAATACGAATATGCAGTTCCGAAGTGAAGCGTAGCCCAGAGAGCGTTCTGTATCGATCGAAACAAATAGTTATCGGACGGGATAAGATTTGGATATAAGACGGGTTAGTCAAAACTTCTTAACCACTTCTTTCTTAATAGTTTTTAACAAAAACTATTGAAAAATGTTCGCTTCAAACGAAGCAAGAGGTTCCCTGTGATCATCTATACAGATTTATAAAGCTTATAATAGATAGCTCCCTATTGGTTCCACCAAATACAGATCATTACCTTAGTGCCATGAAGATTAAGATTTGATTTCTATTCACCTGGTTGGCCGGGCTTCACATTTCGGATTTGTCATCCCAAGTAATAATTCGGTGCAAAATGAATGTTCTTTTATGGCGTTTAAGCAGCATTTTAGACCTGCAAAATCGTTGTTCAAGGTCTCTCGGTTTCAATTCAT